TCACAAATCTCACAAAACATATTCAGAGGAAACATCTTGCTGTAAATTTAGTTAGAAGGGATAATAATTTGAACCAACTAGAAAATCAACCTATTCAAGAAGCACAGATGAATGCCCCACCAATGTCACAAACTACTGCAACCGGTATTTCCTCTCAAACTACGACGACGTCGAGTATGGTACGAACTCATCCGTCCAGCATATCAGCATTTCTTAGACGCGATTGTAATAAAATAAAAAAGGAAATTGATGATCACTTAATGAATCTTTTTGTATGTGACATGCAGCCTTTTTCCATAATAGAAGATAAAGGATTTCGTGAATTGATCAAGTTTGCATTCCCGAATTATATAATACCATCAAGAAAATATTTTGCAAACAATTTATTGCCAGGGCTGTATGAAGAAGTAAAAACTGCCACAAAAATTTCTGTAAGTGAAGATGCAAGCAGTATATGCTTAACCACCGATATTTGGACGTCCGATTAACCCAACGACGGATTAACCCAATTATTAATTGGGTATACTTGAAACGTCGTACCTACACTATATTGGAGGCATACCATACTTACTTATCGCATACGTTTACTTATCGAAATCCTACCACACCCAAATACTTAGAAGTATTTTGATACCTGGTATTTGTACCAGGTATTTAGTGATACCCATACCTTAAAGGCCGGGTATGGAGAATGGCAGGTATATCTCATCTCTATAAGAGGATGCAGCCACCACGAGGGGGTTGGGGTGGTGAGGAGCAGAGTCGAAGTATTTCCTCGATGCCTGTTTCATGACTAACAATTCCAAATATATGAGATGACTTTATACTATTGAAGTTAACAAAACGATAGCGCGTTTCAGAGTACAACTAATGCCATCTAGCAGTGGCGTGATGAAACTAATTGCATGTTAAAGTTGTACTTGTTACAAGTGTAGTTTGATTTCATGCTGAAACCAAAGTATGACTATAAATAACACCCTAACAAACTAGAGATACTACGTATTGTTTCTTTGGATAAATGACTGTTTACGATTTTTATGATTACAAGCACAAGTAAAAGTAATCGTTACTGCGTGCGCCTTCGGCGACATGTCACGACGACATTGACTATGAAAACGCAACGAAATGTTGCTTTAAGAATATACTCTAGAATTTAGAATATTAATCTGAATAGAAAACTACTTCTATTTTGTTTAAGAATATATTTTCTTAAAATACACCCAAGAAATTTTGAATTCATTTAAGATTATTTAAATTTGATGTAAGAGGTAAAAATTTCTTGATCTAAGTAATGTCCAATTAATTGATTAGAAATGAAATAAAATCTGGAAGTGAACGTATTTGTCTAAAAGTTAGAATAAAGTTAAGAGTAAAATTGTATTAGAAAAAGATAAGCAGTATTTTTGTAATGACAATATTTTATTACTTTTAATAAATATTTTTTCAGAATTAGCAAATATTTTGGGAAATTGCTCTTTCTTATTAGTAAAAATCCTTTTTTTCTGTATACATTTCAGTTTAGGACCTAAATTGAATCGTGTGAGACAGCGCTATAAAGTGTATAACATCATATCGCTTTTTTGTCGTTACGAACCTACACTGAACTGTAATAAGAGTTCATGGTAAGGCCCCAGATCCTTTTAAGAATAGGTTATTTGGCGAACAGGATATTTTTTAAGAACATTTCGTCCCATGTCGACTAATCCTTGAATGTGTGTTTTTTGAGAAAGGCAAATGTTTCAATATCGTGCAATGAACTTCGCGTCTACCTCATACGCTTTAAAACCTACGACACCATTTTGCCTTAACAAAGGAAAGCTGTACAAAAGGTGCATGGTAAAATTAAAGTCATGAATAATCGCGACACGATAGGTGTTTACCATTGTGTAGACCATCTGTTGGCAAGTATGTAGGTATACTATAAAAATCTGATTATTTACGAATACCACAATGACTCATGACCGATTTATTATAATTTAGAATTCATGTGGGCCAGTGAGTCGTCGCTTGACTATTTCCGAGTGCTGTATCACGTTACGAACGCATGTGTTAAAACGATGTCGTTACAATCTGTTAACAATAGGTTGTTAGGGTATTTGTAAATTCCAAGTAAGGATAATTTGGGATAATTTAATTACACGGATACACCATGGCATAATAATAAGAGGAAGTAGGGCAATTCCTGTCTGTTCAATGCGTAAATGCGTACATTTCGCTAAGAGTGTAGGGTTTTACATTATTATTTTAGTTTCTTCAATGCATTATGCAATAATGATTATCTAACTAATATTCTTCGGGGTTGTGCCGTGCCGGCCTTACGTTAGTTCCGTGGCAGAAGTGTCTGGGCCTTTTGCGGGACGCTACGATTGACAGTACGTTTGCACTGTCCCACCTGAATCACACCATCAGATCCGCCGGGTCGGTTGCGGAGTATGCGGCAAAATTGAAACATGCCAAGTGCAGTGCCTTGGATGATGTACGATTATGTACCAATTGCAGTGGAGACTGCGGGGACCTTGGTTGCGGTGGCCAAGAATTTCATCAGGGAATTGGGGCTGCGATTCACGGTCGGTCGGTCGGATCCACGATCTTATCTAGTTCAACAAATTTCGTTGGCTATTCAGTGCGGTAATGCTGTCAGTGTTATGGGGTATTTTGAGCCAGCTACGATTTAAGGCAGTCCTGTATAAATCAAATGTTATACTGTGGCGAAGTACATTTAAACTGCCTCTGTGGCCGAACGGTTACCATGCCGGACTGCCACGCAGAGGTCCCAGGTTCGATTCCCGGGCCGGGAGAAATGTTTGTATGGCTTACATTTATTTCTCTCGTGAGTTTGGGTGAAATTTGTGGTTGTCTATGTGTGTGTGTCCATGGCACCCGCGACACAGGGTTTCCCTAGTGCGGGGCTATGTTGAGTGTGTGCGTTATTTATTTATTTTATTTATTTATTTATTTGTGATTAATTTAGTTTCTTAATTTTTTTTATGATTACAAGTGACGAGACGAATAAGTCGTGGGCCTGGTGGTAAGCGACACGCCTGTCCATAACAGTTGCAGTGCCACTCAGAGCTTTAAAACGCAAAGGTCTGAGTGGCAAGTCACAGCGCTCGTCACCCTGTGACATAAGGTGACAAGTCCCATGTGCTAGTAATTTCAACAGCACCCTTACCCTTCAAAACAGGAACGCAGTAATGCTGACATTACTGTTTGGCGGCAAAAGTAGATAAGGTGGCAGTCTCTACTAAAAATTTTTGAATGAATAAATGAGAAACACTAGATTTTGGTCGTGCCTATAAAAATATTAACGCACACACTCAACATAGCCTCGCAATAGGGAAACCCTGTGTCGCGTGTGCCACAGACACGCTATAAGTTGTAAACATAATTTGAAAAAATACAGTATTCTCGGGCTATGATGAAATAACTTTTGTTAAATGCAGTAGGTACACTCGCCAGCACATCAAGCTACACATTGACGTATCTTGTTCCGTTGCAATGGAGGCGATTTTCGAACAAAAACGTGTAGTCTGGCGTGCCGTTGTCCGTACGTACGTATTGATGTTTTTATACCACTGTCGCGGATTGGTCTTTTAATTGTAAAGTGTGATTATGAAATAGAAATGAAATGCTGAACAATTCTGAATTCAATTTTTAAACACAGAGTGACTGCTACAATTCTATAATTAATGGCGTGTTGAATGATCCGCGCTATAAAACGCGAGTGCACTGCGAGATTGTGCGAATGTATGCAACCGTACACGACGAGTGGTGGGCGTACAAACTGTTAGGGTTGTTGCGAATATTAGCATCCGCATCCGTGAATCCGTTTCGTTTAACCAAGGTAAACAACTCTTTTATGGGGAACTGTATACGTTTTTACAATAAGATTCCGGAGCATATATTAAGTTTATCATTTCCTAAGTTTAAAAACTACATTAAAAATATTTTGATCGAAAAATCATATTACAAAATTGAAGACTACGTGTTAGATAAAGATGTATGGAAAAACGACATGGCTCCAGAATCCACACAAATTTGATTCAAAGTGTATTCCATAGCATTTAAGTTTATTTGAAAAGAGCAATCCCTAGAGTTTCTTGCTCGTTCTTCTCAGGGAGGTCAGCGTAGTGAACGAGCAGTAGCTTAAATGTGACGTTTTCAAGTGTAAATTTATTTTACCTATGCAATAAATAATTTTTGACTTTGACTTTGACTTTGTGAATAATCAACAATTTTTTAATTTAGTAACCTTCTGCGATCAGTCCTTGAACCCCATAAATAGATCCGTGCTATAGTTTTATGTTGTTTGGAATAAAGAGTTTTATTTTATTATAAACTTAATTACAAAAGAAAAAGTCCTGTGACTCATTTCTTCGTTACTCATTCATTGCGGATATTCGAGTTTTGACATGACCTAAAAGGCGTAGTTTCTGCGTAGGAATACCTTACAAACCTTTCAGAAACAGACTGTAAGACGAAAAAGCAGCTCAGCTGTTGTTTCTAACATATATGTACCTTTGACAAAATTCCATAACGATTATGCTAAGCAGATTGATTGTTTTTATGAAGAATAATTCTTTAGTTGATAAATTTAACAAAACCATTGAAATAATGTTTTATTACAATCTAAAGAAAATAGAAAGCATTTTCATGTAGATAGATTCAGTAAGGCTGTACATTTTTCGCGTTTTTTTTAAATACCTAAAATCAGCATCTGCATCAGCATCCGCTGATATATAAAAACCTGCATCAGCTATTGCTGGTATACACATACAAGCCATTGCTACATTTAAATAGTGTTATTACACTGTTGTTTATTGGTCTCAGATTTGCTGTATTGAGATTTTTATTTATCTTGTTACAAGCATTATCATTTCTGTCAATTTTAGAGGATGCCAAGATTCTTGGACGATTTTGATTGGCATGAGTAGGACTGTGCACTATTACATCATACTGTTCCATTCATTCATTATTCAAATACCTTCAAGTGTACATACCTCTTCTAAAGAAGCTCCAAACATGTACGTCGGTGCTTTGTCAAGTGCAAATGTGGACGGTTTTGTACCCTCCCAAGAGATAATATAAGAAGAATTCACAGCAGTAATAGCAAATAATGTTGTAGGTATGCCTCCGGTGAAGTCCCATATTTGGTGGACGGTGTCATGGGAGCCTATAGCTTTAACGTAGATGAGTGTGTTTTCAGCTGTGCAATTTGTGCAACCTGGATTTAACTGCGGTATTATCTGCAAGAAAAGGAAAAATTTATTTATTTGAAATCAACATACCAGGTTGAGCATTTCAATCAGTTTTGAACAAATTTAAGTACTTTGTTTTACCATTATTCGTTGTGTGAAATAATTAACCACATTTTAAGAAGAAATATTACGTAAGGTTCCTTTGTGTAATTATGGTTTGTTCACAGGAATAAGTTGAGAGCCATAGATTGATTGAGGCTCTTCAGAACGAACACTGATAAATTACAAAGCTAATTTTGTCTAGCTTCATTGAATGGATTTATCGCATTGTGTTCAGATCTGTGCATTTAAATATATTTTTAAGGAATATTTAGCAGTAGCTGTTGTATAAATTATCGTTTGGCATAAAAAAGGAATAAGTCAAAATCTGACTTAGCGATATTTATTCTGACACTTCTCAATTTTCTTATAATTCTAAAAATATATCTTAATTTCAGTACCAGAAATCAACATAGAATACATTTACCTAAATTTCGAGTTGATTAATGAGTAATAAACATGGAGTAGATAATACCTCCCTCAAAAATCACAGCATGATTCAAAACGAATGCTACAAATCTAAACAAACTAGTTCAATTGTTACTTTTCTTCTAAATACTTTTGCACACACATTTTTTTAAGCAATTGCTAGTTTGCTAGCTATACATAAAAAATGTAGAATAAAATACAGTTTGTTATTTCCGAGATTCCAGAGGGAATTACCCACTCAGTGTATATTATTTCCTCTAAGTTTAGGTAAAAAAATATATAGCCTATTCCGATGTTTGATCATTCCACTTTGACATTCTTTTATTAACAAAGGCAATAAGTGAAAGTACAACAATTTTGTACACAATGACCTTTATATCATATAAAATAAGTCACGCAAAATTAGGGGGTAGATGAAAAACATAAGGACACAAAATCCGTTATAAACAAAGAAAAAATTGTAAACTCACCTTCCTATCTTGTCCATATACCAGTGAAAGCACTAAAACTAGAAATAACGTCTGTATTTTCGCCTTTATCGATAAAGGAAACATTTTTACAAAAGAAAACAACTATCACGTTCGACTTATCGCACGAAACTCAAGATGACAATAAATACCAAGAGCTCATAAGTATAACGATACACGCGTGCGGTGGAGGGCGACAAATAAACGAGTAATTTTACAAATGATAACTCGTATCGTTAATAGATAAATAAATTAATTTCAATACTTTCTTCCTTTTCCAAGAACCTACGTTTTCAAGTTTGCGTCATTCAATAAAACCCTACTAAATTTAAAATACTATTTATCAAGTTACTATTTCTTTGGAGTAAAAGAGAAGCAGCATGCTGAAACAAATATAATAGAGTAAGATGCACTACAACATTATCAAGTGACAAAGGCTTCTAAATACAGTCGTATAATAATTTTTGTATCGTTTGGGAATTTGGTCACACGTATTTTGACAGTTGGTATTTCATAACATTGGAATTTCTGAACGAAAAGGAAAAAGTATTTTTGGGGTCTTATACCTTCATTTCACGGTTCCGTAAGTTAAAATTTTAACTATAAGAGCCCTATAAAAATATTTCTAAAGTATAACGCTTTCGTTGACAGCGATAAGGGAAAGGTTCTCGATGTTCGTAAGTACCACATACTTTTTTAATAGTGTATTTCAAGGAAATATATTTCAAAATTGTGGAAATTTATCTATTTTTATAACTAGATTGTATTATATCGAGTTCTTAGGTTTTCGTGATTGTTACATATAGGAAAAGACACTATTTTTCTGGATTTAAAATGTTTGAAAAAACAAATATACTCAATTTAAATCAGGAAAAATAGTTTCATTTCCTAGATTACATTATGTTTGATATTGATCTCTCGGCAGCTCAGAACTTCTACTTGTAAGTAAAACGCATTGATGCTCTTTATAAATTCATTTCAACCCAAACTCCATTACTATATTATACACGACAACGATAACTAATATTAGTTTATCTATTTATCTAACTCCAATGTTTCGGCAAAAGAACTTAAATCCAAAGTTAATAAATTATTGTTCTGCTACGTACCCTGCTATCCTTGTCACAATTATGAACTAACGCATTTGCTTTTGGTAACTGTCTATATTTGATAGATATTGGCACCTAGTTTCATTTTAATTAATGTCCTATTAGAGCTTAGCGAAATTTTTTTTTGTTTCGTTTTTTTTCTTTCAACTGTGACATTGGCAAAACCATCAGTTCTCATATTGATGGAGCCATAAAAATAAAAAGTGAAGTGAAAAAAGTCAATTACTCTTAATTTTGCTTATGGCGAGGTATTAAACGCGAGCCTAGATTTTAGGAAATGAGGTATGTGGGGTCCGCGCGGTGTAAATTAATTGAATGAACTAAGATAAAAATTTAAATAAGTTCTCTATCTAAATTTCCTAATTTTCCCTTTTAAGAACAGGTGGAGGAAATTTTACACAGATTCAACGTCAACGAGCGCCCGATGGCGACTGACGATTCAGCGGATTAACAGCATATTGCAAATTTTAGGATAAATGTGAATTTAATAGCTATGTTACTAATATGGGTTCTCTGTAGTACCTACTTAAAGAAATATATCTGCATATAAAAATTATGTATAAAGTTAGATATTTTATTCTTAAATAACTCGTTTTAAATTTTTATTGTAGCCTGTTTTCAGGATTGTACATGATCGGATAAAGTACATAAAATCGTGTAACAAATTAGCACATTCCTTAGACAATGTCCTTACGTGTCTAGTATATTTTTGTAAGACAGTTACTTATAGTAAATAGATAACCATTTGATCTAGGAAAATAGTTTTCCGCTTCTCTGGTGACTCGTCTTAACAATATAATTGAAAAAAAAAACACTTATGAGGAATAGTAGATCTCGCTACACTGATTCCAGATGATAAAGTTATGTTATGTATGGAGGATAGCACCTGACTTTACTGCGCGTGAGTGTAGAAATAAAACGATCTTCTGCAATGTATAGAAACATATATTTACATCCATGTATATGATATATAAGTCAATTGACGTCAGTATTCTTTTTCTTCCTGGCGTCGTCGTCACTTGGCTGTGAATGCTGCCTCTTCTCCCTCTGTTTGATGTGTTTATTCTGGTTGCGCTTGGCTTTTGACATCTTGTCATCGCCCACACTGTAATTACAAAATAGAATGGACATTTATTGCAACGCATAGATACCAAAACAAATATTAACTAACATAACACTAAAAAATAAAAATAATTAATAAACAAAATAACACATACAAAAAAGAAAAAAAACAACAAAATAGGACAAAACAGACAAAAAACAAAAAAAAAACCCTAAATATTACGACTACAAATGTTGTACTGTCATTTCGACTCATCCGAAGAACAGAGTCCTATGTGATTATAAGACGAAAAGACGTAAAGAGAGTAAGTACGTTATGAGAATAATTTCGTTTCGGAAATATAAAATCGAACGTCGATTTGACATCCACAGCGAAGAAGAACGAATGAAATGTACTGCCCTGAGAACAAGTAGTCTTGCACATAGATCTTTGTTCTACGGATGAGATAATTTGTGCAGTTGTGGCGTACGCAAAAGGACTTCATTCATGCCACAGCCATAATTGACTGTAGCGCTGGTGTTCAATGCGCTCTGAGCTGAGATGAGTGACGGACGTGCGAGTCGCAAAATAAAATAAACTGCCTAAATATTTGTGTATGCGTTCTTTATCCATTGTGTTACTGTTGTGTGTTATGTTATAGATCGTAAATGCATATATATAATAGATCGTAAATATACTGGTGCGTTTATAGTGTGGTGACGTAATTAAGTAACAAATAAAATAATATAACTCGATTGCTTCGAGCCCGAATGATGCGCGGACAGACGCACGGCAGGGGAGGGGATGCTATTTGACAGCCGGCATAACGCCGATCGCTCGGTTATTTTCTTAAATGCAACTTACTCCGTTGCGTTGTAAACAAGTTGTGTAAGTTATATATTAGTAAAAATAAAATACAATATCGCTTATGAGAGTTTTGCCAGGCTGCTATAAGTATTGTTAGCAGTTGATACTACCTCAGCCCGAATTTAAATTTTTCCCGTACTAATACGGTTCATCGGATTCGTCTTCTATTTAGTTCAGTTGATATAAAAAAGAACTTTGGTATATGTAAAGTACCTATTGAATGCTGCGGTTTTCTTATAAAATTTCGAGGTAAGTTTGTTTTTTTATGGCGTAAATTTTTAGAAATCGTATTTTTACATGGTAATCAGTATATTTCCAAAGTTATTGATTTAACACTTTCACTGTTTTGCGGAATGAACCAAAATAATAATAATAACAATATTTAAACAACGCTGTAGACAAAACAAAATGGGTAACTCACTTGACGGCAGCTCTGGAGCCAGGTCCCCAGTTAGGTGTAGGGTTGAATTGGAATCTCAGCTGGCCATCGCGGCGACTGATTGGGTTAGCGTCCGCCCGCACGCTTAGGTCGACTTCCGATTTGATTTCTTGCGTTAGGATATGGCGGGATACTGGGTCTGCCTCAAGCCTGTATCAAACTTTTTTTACCACACCAATTTTCTGGTTTCATACTAGGGAATCCCCTGTACTATGAGTCGAAACAACGGAATTCACTCCCAGAACGCCCAGTATAGAACCAATTTAGAAAAGTTCATTTCCCAATTTGGTCCTACCGGGAATGGAACCCGGGACATCTTCATCCAGCGCCCACAATGCAAACCGTCGGGTCACCGAGGCAACCAATCAATCATAATCGTACTTCTAACTACACTAACTACACACCAGCACATTTAGCGGAACAAACTGAAAATATAAAACAGTAACGTTTGTATTTAAATAAATGAGAATTTGACATAAAGTAACACTTATATTAAAATCTTTTAACAGCGACAAAGTGCAGCTTTACTCAACCTTTATTGAAAAAATCGAAATTAAACAAGCAGCATTTTTTACATTTTGTGACAAAGCAAAAACAGCTGAAAATTTATTAATTGCAACATTTTAACATTGTAAAAATGAAAGTTTATTAAAGATTACGTTTACTAATCTTTATAACAAACTAGTGGAGTACTTTCATAAATAAAAAATAGAATATCATGCTAGTAAAACATAGTGACATTCAATAAAATTCAAAGTTTACGAAATTACAAGAACGCAAACCACAAACCACTCGACAAATCTGTATTAGTAGTAAATTAAAATTAACGAAAAAAAAAAGCAGACGACTAATTTTTTTTTGTCAAATTAGACCTAAAATAAAAAAAGTTTAATAACCGACCCGACTTTTGAAAAACACTGCATTACTTTTGGGTTTTACTGGTGTGCCGCTAAACATGTGGGTGTGTTTGACATTGACACTTAAAATTAAAGAAAAAAATAGCGGCCCTCATTCTGCCTAGTTTTGTGTACGTTACACGATTACGAGAAAGTGTTATCAAAAATAACAAACTTACTTAGAAGGCTTAGCGGGATGAGTCTTCGCCCAAGTCCTGATGATGTCCCAAATGAGCTGCGCGGGCGCCGTAGTCTTGATTGATAGCTTCGACGCGTGTGAGTAAGATACTTTGTGCCCAGCGTTCATGATTGCTGATCTGAACAATGGAAAACGGAATTCACAATGAAAATTTCAATAATGAAATAGAAGAATTGAAAGTTTATTGCAAAATTAAGAAAATAGTACAGTCAAGATCACATCAATCTTGACACATTGGACCGTTTTTGTAGCGAGATGAATAGAGCTGAATGTAAATAACTAAGTGACGAAGTTAATAATCATAATAATCTTTTAAATAAATAATTTGTAAATATTGCATATTATATATTAAATATTATATACATTTGTAAATATTATTATATATAGTTTGTAAATAAGTAGTTTGACGTGCTCTTGACCATGTAATAACAATAATGTGAAAGTAGACAATTCCTTGTACAGTCAAGAGCACATCAAGTTAGACACTTTGGACTGTTCTTATCGTAGCGGCATAGAGTTGGATTTAAGTACGGACTTGTATATTAAACTGGACCGCACACTAAGTTAATAAGACGAGTCGAGTGAGAGGCTTCAAATTAGTAATGCGTCTCTTTCCAGTAAGGTGTTCATTCATTTTTCAGCCAGTCATATTGTTTTTAACTTTATAAAATGTGGCCGCTTATAGATGACCAAAACTACTAATATTATTTCATGATATAAATTTGTATACTTATTTGATATGCTACTTCATAATAGAAGGTTTCATTGTTAATATAATTTTTTTTGAGTTCTTTAAAGTATATTTTACCTTTAAGCAAATATATACCCAAAATTTAAAAAAGTTAATAGACTAGATTCTACTTAAGAAGATTTTATTTAGCGTTGGCAACTTGTTAGACAAGGACAGACCACTACTTCGAGCTATCTCACGTACCTCGGTTTTATTACTTTTACTTAAAATAAACATTAACGCAACCCAATAAGGTATAAATTTGTAATATTGGTATATCGAAGTGAGCGATCCAGTTTATGAAGGATATAAACCCGTGGATTTAAGTCATAAGTGTCAAGCTGGACGTGCTCTTGTCCCTGTACTATAAGTACCAGAGCTGAGAGCAGAGAATTCACTCTGGGTCACTACAATAAACAACTATACCAATTTAGAAAAGATTTACATTCAAATTGGTCCCATAAGGAGTCGAACCCAGCACCGAGGTTGTCAAATACTTATACCTGCGTTGAAATAAGATTTTTTTTTGCAAAAACCCTTTGTATTTATACGAGGAAAAAGGTTCACATTTTTGTTCTACGATTTTCACGGTACGGACAAGTCGTGCTCCTGGTGGTAAGCGACACGCCTGTCCTTACAAGTTGCAGTGCCATTCAGAGCTTTAAAATGCAAGGATCTGAGACATAACTTGTCATGTGTCTGTAATTTCACCAGCACTCTTACCCTTGAAAACCGGAACGAGAACGCAGTAACGCTCAACGGCTTGGCGGCAGAAATACATAAGGTGGCAGTACTTCCCTGGACGAACTCTTTCACAATGTGCTTCACTGCTTCTAAAAGTCTTTGTAAACTTGTCAATAATATTCTATTTACCTCATAACCAACATGGGCATTGTTTCAAGATGAACTCTCCCGAATAGTTTATCCAGCGTATGATATAGTGGAACATTCTGTAGTTCTTCTCTAACCATGGAGAGGACACCCTGTATTCGCTTGGCGGTGCCAAACAGGTGTGGATTTTCTTGGACGTGTGTTAGGACGCGGGAAACGAAGGTTTCGTCGTGGATTGGTGCAGACCAAATTGGACCACCTAGCTGGAAGAAACAAGATTTTAGCTCAAGGTAAAGTTTTTAGCCGTAAAAAGACATGTTAGCTGGAAAGTTTTTTTTGACTGGAAGGACTCAGTTTAGTTATTATTTGCTCTGCTTCTAACTCTTTCCTGTTAATAGGTACGTAAAAGGAATGAAATACACTATCGGCAACTGAGTATCGCGATAAATACAATAAAGGGCTATTCAAGGCTAGAATAAAATTTGAATGTCCCTCTGTTTGTATTTGAATACATACTGCATTTCTACATATGCTTTCAACAGACCTTTGTATTGAGTTTAAACGGATTATTTACCATAGCGTACATAGCATGATTGTAAAAATATCATGGTATTCAATAAAAATACATATTACAATGTACTATTATTTATCGCGTCACATTAATAACTAAATTTAGTTCATTACATAGGGGGTTGAACATCAGACAATAATGGTGTTAACTAAAAAGTCTGTAGCTCAGTAAAATGACAGAGACTTGAACAGCATTTGCTGATATTATGCTACAACCTGCCATATTTAAAAATAGAGACGTATTTACACTAGGTCGACAGACTGCTTTCGCTTTGCTCGCCTACAACGACGACAACCTACCCAGTGTACATTTTTTTAAATAATAAATAGTAGTTTTTTTTCCATTTAGGTGTAAACACCGTTTGACGACTCTAGTTCGCTGACAAAGTCGACCGAGTCGACTAGGTGTAGAATCACTGACGAACGATTCGCTCGTCGGCAAGCAACGGTCAACCAAACAAGTTTCAACGTGTTGGCGGTCGCGTTCCAACACATTACGCGTGCTGGGGGCTAGAGAACACCTTCCGACCTAATCCGTTTGAACGTTTCGAACAATTTGTTGCTTCTCTGTGTATAAACTTGTATTTATAACTTGGTGATTTCGGTGAAGGCGGCAGTCGACTCGATGTAAACAGCGCGTCGATTGTGCGCCAGCTCAATTTGCTTGCCGAAAAGACGAGATAAACAGCGAGTCGACTGCGAGTCCTTCAACAGGACCAAGTAGTCTGTTGAAGGCAACAATCAACCTTGTGTAAACACGCCATAACTAACACACAGTCAATGTAGCCATTTGCAACAAATTACAATTACACTGTGAATGTACAGATGCATACTCACGTGATGCCTCTGATTGCAATGTACACAGTACTCCCCAACAGGTGGTACAGTAGGCAAAAAAGCTTTAGTTTGATACGGGTTCCTCTCCGAAGGGTTAGGTTTGAATCCACCCAGTGGTTGTAGCGTTATGTTGTCACACCCCACACATTGATATGCCATTGATAGTTTGCTAAAAACAAAGCTTATATTATATAGTGAATTAGCAATGTTTCAAGGTATATTTTGTTAAAGAGCAAAATAATTCATAATTTTACTTATCGAGATACATCGAGTATACATATAACCAGAAATAGAGACGCTAGTTTTCGAAGAAATTGCTTTAAATACCCTTTTCATATATTCCGTGATTAACCCTAATTATAGCAAGTATAAATCATAGCAATTAAATGTCACATCCCCATCTGTAGATTGTCAACTTTTTGCTTTTGTTCCAAGAAGTTTATGTTCGTCCTATCTAAGAATCCTATGATTCTTAGCTTTTATGTGACTAGTAATAAAACCTTATTAGATCCAAATAAGTTTCAATTTTTTTTACCAAAAGTTTTTTATTATTGTCTATTTTCGTTTGATAATTTATAACCAATCAAAATTATGTTATCTTAGTACTAATGTAAGATTACGTTTTCAAATGTGTGCGTGTGCCGACACCGATTTTGATTCAAATGTTGCTTGATGCCATTTCCATTCTTTTCTTTCTTCCGTGTTATATAAATTGCCGTGCATTTAATTAATTCCTCTTTAACATGTAGTAGTATTACAAATACAAATACTTGTATAACAAATACAAGTAGTTCGTTTTTTCCCAGTAATATTATTCAAATGTCTTATTCTTCTTTTAAATGTTATGGCCCCTTTGAAGTAATCGATGATTTCGCCAATGTCAAGTTGAGGACACACGCGTTTTTAGTCAAAAACTGACCGGTGAATTTTGACGGAATTCACTGAGAGGAGAATCTACAGTGATAGGAACCAACAGAGACTCCTACTGAAACAACTTGCTTTTTTCTTTAATAAATTTACACAGCACATGCACAAACGGAGAGTTGACCGTAAACTAAAATTGTCTTCTAAATGTACACAAATGCGTATTAATAGATGACATTGTGTGTTACAATGTAATTTATAAATTACCGTTTGCTAATACGGGTAGATGGCGCTAATCCTAAATAAAGTAAAAGAATAGCCTACAATATCCATAAAAAACTGTTTAATAAGCGCCACCTAGTTGACTCGTTATCACTAGAGATTAGAGTAGCTTAATGTAAAACATTAATTAGTTACAGGAATAGCTATTTGGTATTCGTCGTGAGATCTGGTGTACCAATTCTCTCTTTTGTAACAATTATCTGGTGCAACAATGTCTTGTATCGCCATTAGCAGTTCTCGAGTTATTGGTTCATGGTAATTATGACTGTTAGGAGAAGGGCGAATTAATTGGAGATATTCTTCAACTTTCCAGCTCACGTTCAGGTCGGTGGAGACTTTCAAGGAACAAAAAAGAAACAATAATTTTCCGACTCACCTAGTTGTTTTTTTACAATGTATGGCCCCTGAATAAACTTTGACGAAGACACGAACGTAGAAATCCGCTGATATGCTCAAAAGCGGCACGATATACCGACTGTATCGATTTGCATGCGATTCTATGCATTGCAGAAGTATTCTTAGTGCCTAAAATGTTACCAAATGATGTGATTTATAATTTTCATCACTAATGACAGTTACTTACAATTTAGTAGGAAAAAAATATTTACATAGAGTTCGATTTAAATAAAATTTGATGTTATGATGCAAATACTATGTTTTTCGGATCTAAATTGCGTATATTTTAATATTTATTTCATTGAACATCATGATGTTCATATAGTTTTTGTGAAAATACTCCACTAGTTTGTTGTTATTACTGAAACAAAAGATCGAGCAATAAAAAGAAAAAGTCCTTTGATCCGGCTGAACACAATCACTCAACTCCCAACGCCCAACTGAACTCGCCTACATTATTTATTTTTTTAAACAAACCAACATTTCGGGCTCTTTATATATTTGATGGGGGTCACGGCTGATTACAGTCATTGACTGTGCCCAAAACCTTGATTGTTTTAACTTAAAAAAAATTATAAATATTAAAGCGACATCTAGTCAGTGGTGGTAGCTGTAAAGGTGCCTCTCTGAGTGAAGAAATAAATTTCTCACAGATCGGCATCTACGGCAAAAAATTCGTTAAAACCAAAAACCTAGATCTTCAACAAACACAGAAAAATTCGTATGGTCTGGTGGGCCGTTCCGTGGGTTAATTGGCAGAGCATCTGGCACGGATTGCCTGAGGGCCCTGGTATAAATCCAGCCAGACTTTTTTTCCTCTTCAAATCTGCAATCAGTCCATTAGACTTTAATCAGATGAGTTGGAAGATATAGGGCGTTACGGAAGATTAAGGCCATTGCCTTATCTCCCCTTAATTGCACAGCACGTCTGCTCTTTTCAGTCTCCTAATAGTGGTTGTTACAACAGTACTCGGGGCAATGGGTTAGGATGAACTTCTAGTCGATGCCTGTAGTGAGCTGTATAGCGTTTCGCTTCTTCGAGAACCCTTGGCATTTCCAGATAATTGTGTATTTCGGAGGTGCGAGCGTACCAGGGTGCAGCAGTTAATACCCTGATAATGTTATTTGGGTAGTCTACTCCTAGTGGCGTAGATTTTACTTCTTCTGGTCATGATCTCTTTGTATATTTCGCAGCCACATTTTGCGGGTGACGTTCTGTCTTTCTTCTTACACTCCGAGCTTTTATGGCCTTCCCCACATTTCACGCATCTGAATCCAGCCAGATTTAAGGAATTTTTCTTAGTGTTTCGATCTTTGTTATAATAACAAACTAGTGGAGTAATTTCACAAACAAATAATTTAATATCATGGTAAGGTAGTAAAACATTGTGATAGTCGATAAACTTAAAAAAAAGGCTATTTTATTTTTATCAAATATATTTCACGTATGAGAGAAATATGCCTTTAAAACACTGGTAAGAGCGAGTTACATTTATTTGTATATATATCATATTATATTCTAAAGGGTATTATACCTGTTTTGCGACATATTTTCATTTGTTACATAAGTATAAAATTGTTTATTTAGGGCTTATAAACCGAAATAAGTTTGTCTGAGTATCTATCTATCTATCATATGTAATAAAATAAAGACTTACCATTTCATGGCAACTCTTGGTTTTTAAGCTTACAGCACCATATTTATAATAACATGTCTCAGGTGGGTTTCCTGCAAGAATGGCCATGTCTGTAGCTGTGACCAGCAACAGTCCCCCATCCTGTACGCTCTGCACTGCAGAGTCCAGGAATATAGACGGACCCCCATATGGATCAAGGTCTATGGCTGAGAACCGTTTTGATGGGAATTTGTGTTTGTACATGAGCATGCTGGAATAATAATTATTAAGCTATTAGTTAGACCTGTTATACATGAAAGGAGAAAGATTTGTGTAATATTCAATACATTCATTGTGCACTCTTGAAACCAAATATTGTCATAAGTTAAGATGGTGTAATTGAGAAAACACAATTTGAAAGATAATTATATAAAAAACCAACCTCAAAAGTTCGTAGAATTACATCTATTTGTTTGCCAAGTATATTGAAATTGGTTATGGAATATTTTCTTCAAATTTAAATGGGACCAATACTGAGATACCCTCTTGACAAAAAAGAAAGGATCATCAAAATCGGATCATAAATTTCGGAATAATCGCGTTACATACAAAAAATACAGTCGAATTGAGAACTTCCTTCTTTTTTGAAATTGGTTAAAAAATACTGAATGGATCTTATTGCGAACAATGATATTATTTGTACTCATATATTTAATTATCCATTATGAACATGAAAATAAATTTATTTTATTTCATTCGGTATTTTTTTTAACTTACAAATTGTGTTTTCACAATTCTCCAATTCTGAATTACGACAGTACTTGGTTTCATGTGCGAGTTCTAAAATAAAAAAAATGGATCTATGCAATAAGAAGAAGAATATAACTTATTTTCAGCACTGAAAGGAACACTTTCAAAAATAAAAGTAGAAGTTAACTAGATAACTGGCAGAATTGGATGCCTTTCGAATAACAGGCGACCTAACAGGTGACCGAATACTTCAATTCTTTATTCTAAGGCCTTAAATAAATGAAGCTATGCACTACAGGAACTTTCCACTTGGGTCTTTATGTTATTCCTTTGGATTATTCTACCTATGTAAATCATTCCAGTGGAAGGTGTCGCCCAGTACAGACGTTCCCACCTCGCCAGCATGTTACATAGTCAAATTAATCTCATAACATGACATATATATTGACATATATAATTGAAATTGGCTTTTTATAGTCACATAAAATCAAATGCAATATTTATCTTTGAGTTTCTTACAAAACTATCACAGAGATTCTGCTCTTTTTACTTAATGTTAAAACTTATTGAACAGAGACGTCATAGATGTTTTAAGTTTATTTTAAATGAAATGAAAATTTATAATGTAACAAATTTATAATGTAGGTGTTATTTTGTATAACAACCAGTATATTGTTTTTGTGATATACTTCTAACAATGTAAGTTTCTCTCACCAAGCATCATCATGATTAATATCAATCAAGTTTTCAACCTGGTTATGCACAATGTTAGCCTTTATGGTTTCTACTGCCTGCTCAGACAGGTCATTGGCAATAATCTTGGTTACATTTGGTATTTCTTTTGCATAACGTATGCTGCGGAGACCCGTTGCTGATAGGGCTTCGAGTATTGAAAATGCAATCTGAAATTAAACGGAATTTTATTTTATTACAGCATGTTTAATATATCTTCAGAAAGTCACAAATTCGTTTGAGGAGCAATGTATTCACTTCAAAAATTAAATCTTTTTGAAGATGTTAACTCATATGTATTTTTGATTAATAGGTGCATTGACATACCTAATTTATCCATAAATTGTACCATTATACCTATTTTGTGAGATACCGCTATTTTGATTATAAAGAAAGCCACCTAATCTATTTGTAATTTAAGGAAAAATGAGATATAAAAATACTTCTTAGTGGTTTTTTAAATGTTTTCAGTTAGATAGAGCTATTTCTATTATACCATTAGATACGAAATTATTATAGCTCTTGAATGGTATAAAAAAACTAAAAGGGCGTATCTCAGAGATAGCGCCTTTCGGCTTAGTAGGGCAGTATAGTGAAACAAAAACTTCATATGACAGTTTTCAATTTCAATCTCAATTTCAATTTCATACTCCATATAAGGTGTACAAAGACAATTACACAATCTTAAAAACTTAAAAATAAAGATAAAGATAAATTTATTTCAACATATAAGTAAAAAAAACAAATGTAAGGGAAGCTAATATACAATTGGTAAAAAAAAATAAAAATAAACCTTAATTATTATACTAATCATAAAGCTATACAATTAATTATTAGAAGCCTACCAGTATAGTTGCGATGCTAGTTATTAATATATAATGCTAGTTATTAATTTATAAGCTATATAGTATTAAGTTTTTATACAGCTTCTGTGTATTTGGATGATCAAATTCTGTGGTAGTGACCTGCTTAGTTTTTACAGGTAGTCTTCATTTATGTTTCAAATAAATTTTGTAACTAATAAATGTGTACAAATGTATATTTACAATTCTTGCTCATTTTTCTCAGGGGTTACTGCTGTAAGAATGAGCAGTAGTATTGAATCAATATGATGATTTCAAGTGTAACTTGCTTACTGATATAAAGATACTTGAATTTGGAAGTTTATTGAATGTCACAGTGTTTGAGTGTTTATTATGTTTGTGAAATTATTAAATTATTAATACATAGATTGATTAGTCCAGTAAAGAAAGATTAGTTGATTTCGTTATTTAGGCATTCGGCAAATATTGCATAGTGCATGTTATTAACTAATATTATAATATAATTACTGATAGTATAAAATATTATTATCACACAAGTCCACAATAATGTTTTTTTTTAATTTTTCTCTTAATGGATGGCTTGTGAGACTTATCATTATTATTAGGGTGGCTTCATTCAGGGCCTATGCATCCCCTCATCACTGCGACCATTGACTGATCTATTGTGATCACTACTAATTACAGTGCAGAGCCAAGGCCGACAGCATTAAAAAACTGAAGGACTTTCCTGGCTCTGACAGGTTGAGGTATGTGCCGTCCCAGTACGGAACTTCGTACGCCCATCAGGGGGTAGCATTGGGTGAGAAGATGAACAGGACCATGAGGATGAGGAACATGAGGAACATGTGGCAGAATCTACATTCTCTATGTTCTCTCTGCCTAATATTTGACATGTGCTTGTTAAAGCCACAATGCCCTGTTAAAGATCTAGTGAGCATTCTTATGCCATTCCTGTCCAATGATAGAGCGTCTCTACAGTGTTTGGTACTGTAGGTACATAAGGGCTTTTGAATGTTCAAGACCCTTGTTCTGTAGCCACACTTCTTGGGAGAGGTGTGTGCTCTCATTTAACACAGTGAGCTTTGCCAGGCTGTAAGCTATCCCTATGAAGGGTTCAGGTCCAATAAAGGTTTCCCTAGCACCAGCCTTTGCCAATTATAGTTATAGTCATTACCCTTGATGTCAGAGTGGCCTGGAACCCAATTCCGTACCACTGTATTACTTTCCCCAAGAGTATTCAGTATATTTACACAGTTCTCTATAATTCTCGATGTTTGGGTGACTGAGGCTAGTGCTTGTAGAGCCGCTTGACTAACTGAGTTTATGTAAATATACTTGTGAACGTAGCCTCTCTTCAGGTGCAAATCCACACAAGTAATTATGGCGTACACTTCGGCCTGAAAGATAGAGGAGTGTCGTCCCATGTTCAGCTTATAGTTTATTGAGTGAGCGTGGGTCTGACGCCGTGTACACCACAGCCTATGTTGGGTCCCATCTTAGACCCATTGGTATACCATAGAAGGTTACCATCCTTCCAGGTGAGACTGTTAGTTTCCCAGTCCTCTCTAGTTGAAAATTCTACCTGGTAGAGTTTTTTAAAGTTTTGTTTGGGAAGTATGACATCAGAGTTCATTCCCAGAACAGAGTGTTCCAGAATTGAGTCTTGGGCTGATCTCAATGTCTGGGAGAGCCATTTACTCCTTAACCTAGTAATAAGCCTGTACATGCTGGTAGTGGCCTCCCTCTGTATGAATAAATGCAGAGGAGTCAGGTTCAGTAATGCATTTAGGGCCTTCCCAGGTGTGGTGGACATGGATCCCGTTGCTAGCAGGCATGCGGTGCGCTGTAGACTGCCCAATGTGACAATTGTGGTTGTTTGGCTGACTTTAGCACTCCAAGCAACAGAGGCGTAAGTAACTATGGGCCTCACAATTTTCTTATATAACCAGAGAGTCATCTTTGGTTTTAGACCCAAACACTGTCCCGCCATACGGCTACAGACACCTAAGGCCATCTTGGCCTTGTTGAGCGTGTTAGTTATATGGTGGTTCCATCTTAGGGTTTGATCTAGAGTTATCCCAAAATATTTGACTTCTGCAGAAAAGCCCACAGCCCTGCCACCAAGAATTGATTCCACTAGCTTGTCTGGTTTCCCTCTCCAGATGAAGGGGACAATGGTTGTTTTTTCCGCATTGATTCATAATTCGTTGTCTTGACACCACGCGGAAATGGTGTCAAGTGCTCCTTGCACAAGTGATGATATAGTACTTTGGCAGTGCCCTCGAACAGTGATCACCAGGTCATCTGCATATCCCTGAGCATCAATATTCACTTCAGCCAACCTATACAGGAGCTGATCCACAACAAGAGCAACCTCTTACTGTGGAAGCCACAAGCCGGTCCCCATGTAATGAGATACTGGCCCTGCGGTTTAAAAGCATGTTCTGTAGACGCTTCAACCACGAGGTGGTTGAAGTGTCTACACTTTTGCAGGTTAGGCCCTTCACAAGAGTATGGATGGGTGTATTGTGAGACTTAACACAACAATGTTAATATATGATATATGAATAAAACTTCTAACCTCAGAACTGTCTCCATCTCCGTCTTTTTTCTTCTTCTCTTTCTCCAATTTCTCATTTCTATAAACCTCGGAAAATATAGAAAGTACTGCTATACTCAAGTCTCTGTTGAACTCCTGTACAGGGTTATAGAACACTTTCTCTGTCGTTAGGCAGATTTCCGCTTTTCCTTCCTTTATTGACTTATTGGAGGACGTTGATGATTCCATTTTCATAATTTTCTGAAAGATTTTTGTTTTATATGGTTTTAGGTTATGTTTGAAAAAGTTCACGTAAGTTGGAAAATTCGCATTTAAGAACTATGCGGACCGAATGAAATGGAATTTATATTTGTTTGATGAGGTATAACTAATTGACTGAAAATATTTTTGATTAGAAAGCGATTTTATGGCGACTTTCTTGACGTAAAAGGTTAAGGAACAAATCTCTGCAAATATAGTTAATGGTGACTAGATTTAAAAGTAAATTATGTGCAATACTTTCTTTTACCTGAAGAATGAGTGTAAAAATTCTCCTATTACTCAATTTCATGAAATACCTATACGCAATATAGCCCGCAGAGATAACCTTATCTATGAATGATGGCCCGTGACCACAAACTACTATGTTTTGAATATTTTACTTTTTTTTTAAAATTTTTTTTTATTAAGGCTTTGGCAAAGCCATCAGCCTAAACACGAAGTTTAAATATGTTTCCGTAAATATGGCCGCCACAAAGAGGATAGGCAATTTGAGGCGGCGTGCTTGGATTGACTCGGGATTCCTTAAAACGGGCCGATACGGGTATTTTAGTTCGAGATTCGTATAATTTTGCGTTTTAATCTTTGATTAAGGCACAATAGCACTATCCTATTCCACTTTAAACTAGATTTCACAAAATAATTGAAAGTCAAAATAAAAACGACACTTTTCCCTCCAAAAGGTCCAGAGCGAATCCTGAATATTTTACTTTACGATAAAAAACGATTTTTTTTTTGGCTTGTATATAAGTCCTATGAGCCATGACTTCGTTTAATTACCGGAAATTATGTTTTCACTTTCTCCTAAAGAACGTAGTTCACTTATTTAGGTTTATTAATAGTCTTTTAAGCGGCGGGAGTCAATATTTACTTTTTACTTTCACATAAATAACATTATCTTCTATCACTTTGAACAATAACTTTGAAATCGTAATTAGTGGAATTTTCAGGATAAAGTCTTTTGTATTTTGATTTAAAATAAGGAATATAGTTCTAGCCTTAGAACAATAATGCATAGAATAATAGTTTCATATCAAACGAACAGTCACAAGTGAGGCAAAAATCAAATTCATGTAGGCTAGTTTTAGTAGTAGGTTAATTTTCGGTTTTAGTGAATATTTATATAAAAATACAAGTTGAAACGCGTTACTTCCTTGTGAAATGTGATGTTAATATCTATTTTATGTTTGTCTGACGTATTTTTACACTAACGCACACTTCGTCATTTTTAGCTAAAATTCTTGAGCTGTTCGCGGTGCAAGTTGACCTCAAAGAGAATTTAAGCACTACGTTGTTGACCTTGAGCACTGAAGGCCCGCCCGCTCGTGTAGACCCTTTGGGAGCGCTTCAATTTGCCTCACTTAGCGTGTGCGGACTAGGTTTCTATGCGTCATTATTTTAAGGTTCTAACATTCTTCATCACTACTTTTTTCTTCATAATATACTTAAAATTAAAATAATCTTTGTAAAAACTGTACTCTTAACTTCAAAAAACCGCCATTTTTTAAAAACAAAAAGAAACCGGTTATGTGAAATATAATTTCTAAACCGATTAAGCTTGAAAACATTATAAATTATTTTGAAATCACTATTGAAAGTCGCTGTCACTGTCATGCGGCAATTCCTTGAATAGTCTGGAAAAGTAACCTACTTTTTTCTAAATAAATAGATTTAGACAGAAATTTCTATAATAACCATCGAATTTTATTTATGTAAGCTCAAAAATATGCATTCCGCCAGTGTTTTATTGAGGAACAGTGTGTTTTCCAGTCCAAACTTTAAGTGTTCTACTGTTCGATTTGTCCATATTGTTATGAGGGTTGCATCACATAATCGGAAGCCGGTAGCGAAAGGAATATTGTGTTATGGGTACAATAGTCACAGCTCGCAAAACACTCGTGTATGTAGTTTTTTGGGGGGCTATTTACCGTCGCAGAAACAAGTAGGTAGTTTTAGGTTGTATTCTACCGCCAACAAGGATGATCCCCCTGAAGACGAGCCAGACGTGAAGGTAGAGACCCCGCTGTTCTCCAGCCAGCTTCCAGCGACTGTCGCTGTGCCTGAGGTGTGGCCCCAAGTGCCTGTTATTGCTATTAACAGAAATCCAGTTTTCCCTAAGTTCATTAAACTTCTGGAGGTGAGAAACATTACAATTTTCAATATTTTCTACCTGCAAATAGATAGATGGCAATGTTGTATTGCTTAAAGCAATATTGAATGAATATTTATTTATTTTATTTATTTATTTATTTCATACATATATGTGATTAATGTGTGTAATAAAATAGGCGCCTTGATGTCGAGTTGCGGACACCAGCCCGTTACACCAAGTACCAATGTGTGTAATGGTAAACAGTATGTAAATTTGTGTGGTGAAGAATGTATATGATATGTGTATGTATAGTGATTAGCTTTGTACATCTGACTTGTGTAAATTCAACCTACCTGCTATACTCTAGCCAAATTCGATGTAGAATAAATGTCAACATACAAAAACATATGATTTTTAGGGTTTTCATCTCAATCTCTTTCACAGTTACCACAATTTCAATATATTCTTACAAAATTCAAGTACATTATGGATAATACTAAATCTTGAAGCCATGTTTGTAATGAATATTGTTCAACAGAAGTTTCAAATCACCTAAAAATGACATAAAAATGACCAGTAATTAATTATTTGTGAAATTGTGTCATCCCTAGTGACTTTTTGATTTGAAGGGATATATTGCAAACATTCGAGTTCTGTGGTAATACAAGTTCAGAATCGGAAATAGATGCTGGATGATATAATATGTGGTAAATTAATATCACATAAAATCCTACAATTTTGTTTCTTTTTACCAACCATATAGCAATAAATATTAATAGGATGCAAACACTTATTTTTATTCTTAAATCATACATACGTATCAATAGGTATTTCATAAACATAATAATAATTGGCTAGGTAAGTATTACTTTTACATAACTGACATAACCCAACTATCTATTTACCTATTTTAATTCCAATTAAGGGAGCAGGCCGTGGGCAGACCGAGCCTTAATAATGAGAATTGAAAAAAATGTTTTTCTTCTATGCCATCATTCGTTACTCAGCAACGTTTTGTTATTAAACATTCTACATCGAATTTGGCTAGAGTATAGATGAAATACTTTTTTATAAATTATTAGTAGATTGAAGTAACCTTTTGTTGCCACTGTTTTGAATATTGGGGGTTCTCATGAAAAATTTAGAGTAAAATGGAATATGTATGCAAATAATGGAAGATAGAGTCAATATCTCCAATGAAAACTATGCCAACTGAATTTTTGGTTATTTTTCTCTAATTTTTTTTTTGTACATTTTTCTTTCACAAAATTTGTTTTTTGTTTTTTTATATGAATTTTGTTTTTAGTTCCTTAATTTTTTACACAAAATTCGGGCATAAATAAAGCATATGAATAAGGCTGTTTGTATTAAAAACTGAAAATGACCAAAAATTAAATTGGAGTAGTGTTCATTGGTGGTATCAGAGGTATTGGAGGTATATGTAGAAGTGACAGTGATTTAATTCTTCACTCCATTAGTAAGTATAATAGTTAAAACATTACTGAAGAATTCTACAAATATGTACAGAAAACATTATTTTTTCATCAAAGTATTCCCGTGTCTCAACCCATGAGAACTGGTTTATATTACAATAAAACTCACTGTTTTTCCAACAATGACATTGTTAGATTCAAATAATGATTGTATTCTAAATAATGATCCGGTAATGACAGAGTCATAAAAATTAAAAAAATAGGATAGAAGATTATATTTTGTTATAATTTATTATTTAATATTTTGGGTGTTTATACTTAATCAATTCCAACTTCAGTTTGTTCTTCATTTCATTGTTTTTTTTTATAATGGTTTAACTACATGCAAACAGGACATCACAACATCAAGGATACCAGCCCATTACACCATATGTCATGCCATAACTATAAATGTTATTTCAATAGCTGAATATATACAGACATTTAACTAATTTATAATGTTACAGATATCAAATCCAGCATTAATAGATCTTATTCGTCGTAAGGTGAAATTAAACCAACCATATGTGGGTATATTCTTACGCAAGAAGGAAGATGAGAAGTCTGATGTAGTTTCTAGCCTGGATGATCTGCACCAGGTAAGAAATCAATAATGATTTTTAAAAATGTTAACGTTGAATTAGGGCGCAATTCAACACCAGAAAATAATACTATGCTAACTCAAATTTTGTCAATTTTGCATTTTTTACTCCAAATTATTCAACCAATTCAAATTAAATTCAAAATTAAGAAAATAATACAAAAAGTAATAATAATTGTTTTATAATCGTAAAAAAATCTTTAATATTTTAAAATTAAAAGTTGAATTCTTGGTGAAAATAACACTACATTTAAGTTAATTTAATATTTCAATAATAATAAGTACAACTTTAAAACACATAAATGAAATTTCATTTATTATTTAAATGTAAAATAAATCAAAAGATATATGTTAATTTTAACAATATAATAAGTAAATTATTTTGTATGGGCGAGACTAGCTCAGCATTGCGCTGGAGACACAAACTAAAACAGGTTTATACAAAGCAAGAGTAAAGTTGGGGTGATGATGAAGTAAATAATTTATTCATTCAGTTATTTAGCTTGTAGTCGCTACACGCAAAATAAGACACTACAACGTCGAATTGCCAACACCAACCTGTTACGCATATACATCAACGTTTATTAGTAAGAGGGAAAGCATAGAAATACACATAAATATATAAAAAAGTAATAAAAACTAAAGATAAATGTAGATTATAGTTCAAATATTTTTATCATTCATAGTGAATAGTCATTTGAGATTAGTGGGCTTTGTTCTTTGGACTTTGACTTATATGATAACCTAATTTATATCCACTGAGTTTACCAACAAATTCACGTTAAGTAAAAAGGGACCTGATAATTCTGTGGTGGCTACTATACTGCCCTCCTTGTTGTAAACTACGCATTTGCATTTTAGTAACTTTTGAGATATCAGCACCTATTTTGTTTTCCTTGAAAAATGTCAATTATGCTGATTTTACTTCAAAATAAAACTGTTACTACTGTGTACAAACATAATTAACTAAATGTAAACAAACCGTAATGAAATATTTTATGAGGCATTACCTGGTTACGGTTCTAAATATATGATAATATTTTCAGCTATAGACAACATATCAAACTACCTATTTAAAATACTACTAAATATATAATTTATGTATAAAATTTAAATAAAGATGTTTAATAACACATATATCACAAAATTCCTATGATAAACAACCTAAAATCCAGCCTTTTAAAAGATGACAGGTAATAACATGCGAAGAAATTAAAGAGTATATACAGTAGTAAAATGACGAATGAAACTCACTACTAAATATTGTAATTGACCGGTTAACCACGTAACAGCTGAAGTTTGTTTGCTTTTAGGTAATTACCTAAACTTTTTACTTTAAATAAGATATACAAAAAAATTTATTAGAGGGGGTTGTAGATCTTGTTTTCCTGATTCCAGATATGTTAAAAACTCTTTTTTTGTTTATAATATGGTTGTTTATAATAAGGACGATAGTGTAGCAGACTACTAATTGCCAAGTTATTTAATTGCAGATAGAAGATAGATAATTTTTGTCGTAATTATTTTTCCTGTTTTCTTTTTTAACATTATTTTTTCTCCATCTGCAATCTTGAACCTTGAACCTTACGCAGAGCCTTGCTATAGGGTCAGCGTTTTCCATTTGGTGGGTCGCTAGGCCACCAAAATAAAAATACCGGGTCGCAACATTCCCGCCTTGTTGAAGTGGAACCAGACCTCAGGATAAAACTTTCGTCATTTTCCGAGAACTTGGATCCTTTAGTAAAAAATAAGAAGCAGCTCCATACTTCGCACTAAATAGGCGATACCTAAAAAATAATTTTAGTAAAACATTTTTACTAACAATAAATGTGTATTATTTTACTTTTTATTTATTTATTCATTATGTTACATTGTATAAACACATTTTATCATTACAGATATTATATCCAAATCGATAATGTCAAATCACATCATTATTAAAAAAAAATACCGGGCCTTGGTAGAACAACGTTTGGGAAATACTGGTCTGGTCGTGGTAGCTCTTATTGATTAAGAGTTTGTTTATTCATATGCAAATAAGAATTGGAAATACACTTCCGGACACATAATTCGAGCCACCACGCATTTTTAGTATTAAGTGCCCTAAGCTTAAACAATGTTTGATTGATCAAAACCTATTATGCAATTTTGAAACTAGTATACTAAAGATCTTTTCCATAAGGCTTTGTTGGGAATTTGGATTTGCAAAACCGGGGAAAACTTTTTCTTCAATGGTAACACTATTTTTGTATTCTAGTCCTTTACGACAAAAATGCGAGGTGGCTCGGATTATGTGTCCGGGAGTATATTATTGATTATAAATAATGTTCAAATACAGTTATGAATTCTTATATTGGTATTCGTTTTCAATTTCAAAGGTTCCAAGGGCGTCTTCAAATCAAACGCTTGGCGTGGCGCCGCAGTTGCGCGTCTTTAACGCTTCAGTCATTTTTAGTTCTCTAATATTTTTTTTATGAGGCCAAGTGATGGGACGAACTAGTAATGCGCCTAATAGTAAACGACACGCCTGTCCATAACAGTTGCAGTGCCACTCAGAACTTTAAATTGCAAAGATCTGAGGTGCACTGCTTCTGCGCCCATCACCTTGAGACGTAAGTTAAAAAGTCCCATTTGCCTGTAATTTCACCAGCACCCTTATACCCTTCGAAACCGGAAGTGAGTATTGCGCATATTGCCGCTTGGCGGCAGAAATAGGTAAGGTGGCAGTACTTCCCTGGATGAACTCTCACAAGGAGCTCTACTGCTACTAAAAATGGCTTTCAAAAGTGGCGCGCGCGTGTCATGCAGCTGTGCTTCGCTTCGTGTGGCGCCATCTGTGAGAAATCTGTAATCGGATGAGAAAGAAATCTGTTAAATTTTGTATTTAAACTAGCCAAAATTTTTTTGCATTTACAGGTGGGAGTATTCGCACAAATCCACGAAATGCAGGATATGGACTACAAACTTCGGTTGGTGGTACTGGCACATCGTAGAATCAAGATCACGGGGCAGTTTATTGAGGATGAAATTGAAACTGGACCTGCTGGTGAGATTAGCTTTCGCGTTGTCATCACGCGGTGATTAGTGAATCCTTAAACCATAGTAGGGCGATGGTACCAATGATAAAGATACATGTACAATAAATTAATTTCAATTAGGTCTTAAATAATACATTACAGTGTTACTACAACCAGTTTCGTAAAAACATACAAATATTATCGATATTTTAAGGGAACTGCGTCTTTAAATTTTAAATAACATTTTTGATTTTAAATATTTATCAATGGTGATTAGTTTGATAGATATAATGCTCAAGAAAGATTATGTGTTCACTTTTTCAATTAACAAAAAATACCATCAGAAATATCTTACGTAAATTGTGCAGTTACCTTTGAACCCAACTCACTTAAAGTAAGTTGAAATATTATGGCTCAATGGCTAAAAGCGTGTACAACCGCTCTGAAATATCATGGGAAAAAAGCCATATCATACTAAGAAACTTGTAACAAATGATAATCTGAAAATGTTTTTTAAAGGAATATTTGTGGGTAGCATACGGAGGGCTTTGTCATTATCACGCCCACCAGTCTCCCATATTCGTCAGTACTGTTCGTTAATCATCGAGTGTATAACCAGAAATAGAGACGAAATATCTTTAATTTGTTTGACAACTATTCTGCCATATAATTACGGTGACAACTGCGCTCTGATTGGCCAGCCCGAATTCGAAACAGTTGGCGGGTGTCGTCAATTGTTTCACTTCAACCGACCAGTTTAACTTGAGCTTTGATATTTAATTACCGAAGAAATATCATTCCGTTTGTTTTGTAAATAGATGTTTTGCTGTTTTTCCCATACCATCAAATGGAACAGCCCCCCATAGTTAGAGATGTTATCTTTATTACAATAAATACAGAATATTTTTGGAATATACGGAGACGTAAACACAGGTCAGTTGTTGGCGCTGTACTATTTCAGCTTTCTCATTTGTGATTTCAGCGCAAACGAAAGTTGATATTTAAAAGCTGCCGGGGATGGATGACCCTTATTTCGTCTCTATTTCTGGTTATATACGTGATGTCGTTAATATAATAGTATAATCAGACAATCACCCCAATTTATTTCTCAAATTTCAAAATTATTTCTCAAATCTCAATTTATGGTCTCAATTTATTTCAAGTTGGTTTCCAATTTATTCATTTATTGCTTTAAATGTGATTAATACTTAAGAGGACTTCTAATCGCGATGCAAAACAGCGTTGTCGGGTATTTAGTACCTATTATATACTATATATATAACTAATTTGTTTTACATTAACAAACTGCAATTTATCAAAGCTACTCTAATTTCTAGTGATAACAAACAAATCGGCGTAATTTTAAAATGCGCAAGTCTCCTGTCGTATGATTTAAGTTTTTTAGAAAGACCGGCACAGAAAGTTAAACGCCACAAAAAGCGTTTTTGGACACGTTCCAAATGCAATGAGTTAACAGTATAGTGGGGTCGCCACACCACACTTCCATATTCATATTGAGCTTTTTAAGAGTTATGATCTGTATAATGGAGATTAGCAGTCTTCTTGAGTTATCGGTCCATGGTACAGTACTTATACAACTTAGGAAAATAAACTTTTTTTTCCTAGTTTTGTACTGCGAAGTACTCCTTAATGAATTCCGTTGCACTTATACTCTTAGTACAGAGATTTCCCTACTTCAAGATAAGGTAATTGGTGTGGTTGACTAGCACATTATTATTATTGATCACGGAACAAAAAAAAAACAACGGAAGTGCCTAAAGCCTTGATTACTATCAGAACCGCTGTCGTAAAAACTCACACATTCGTAATATGAAACACTATGAAATCTTGTTAATGATCGGTCGTAGTTTCAAATTAAAAAAATCGAAATCTGAGCTGTTAATATAATTTAAACCTTACGCTGTTAGCATATCGTTGAAAGTTCAATACCACCGATGCATAACATTGCAAGTTACGACGTTTTTATTTTATTTTGCAATTTCAATCAATGTGCTGCCTTCTGGCGGTTAACAGCTGAACGACGACGAATTCTAGATATTTATTTAGTTCTGCAAAAAAGAAACGACTGCCGCAGTATAAGATTTACTTTCGTTTCTAGTAACAATAATCTCAGTACAGAGTACTAAAAAAACCGACCTCAAAAGTACGTGGAATTACGTCTATTTGCTAAGTTTTATTGAAATATCCCCTAGTTCGCCACTATACAGGTCATGACGCTGGAGATAATAAAAATCGGTTCTCACTACTCAAAGTATATTGAGAGAAAAACGCTTGGATTGGATTTAATTGCTCCTAAATTAAAGTTAGGCGCTATTTATAAAAATGAATCTTCATGCGTGAACAGCCACCCTTCGACGTGGATGATTTTCTTCAAAATGAAATGGGACCACTATGGAAGTACCCCCTTTCCAACAAAAAAGAATCATGAAAATTGATTCACAAATACCGGAGTTATCGCGTAACATACATACAAAAAAAAGAACATACAGTCGAATTGAGAACCTCCTCCTTTTTTGAAGTCGGCTAAAAATTGATTACGATGAGCAGCAAATTGAAAATTTATTAAAGTTAAATAAAATAAGACTGAGATATGGAGAAACAGCACCATAGATAATATTCCACGTGCGACTATTATTTCTGAAATAAGACATTTTACTACGATTTTCGATGTTTTGCGCGAGATAATTTACACGATCTTAACATTCAAAGCGGAAATGGCGGACTGAGGTCAAGTTTGCGGAACTCCGCGGACTGTTGGCACACGTGCCACGCAAACTAAGCACTTCTACTGTATTTATTGTTCTGTGATTAATGATAGGCCTAAAATGTACTAAATTCTAACTTTAAAACAATGTAAAACCAACTCCATTTCTGAAATACCACATTTCAGAAATGAAGTTGAAATTTCCGTTATTTAACATCGAAATTGATGTCCGTGAAGAAAGTGACGCTGAACGAAGAAGAAGAAAGTACAGGAATGTACGGAAACAGAAAACTGAAAAGGCTGAAGAAGCTGAGGAAGCACCCAAAGTAGAAACTGAAACTGTGAAGAAACAAGTGACAGATCAGGTGCTGATGGCGAAGGTTGAGAATATGAACCACGAAAAGTTCCAACAGACTGAAGAAGTGAAAGCTTTGACGCAAGAAGTTATTAAGACTATTCGAGATATTATTAATTTGAATCCATTGTACAGGTAATTATTACATAACTTTTTTTATTAAAAATACGGACCTATAAAGTTTGTGGAACTACCTTTGTTAGAGTCCTAATGGGACGTATAATAAAAACTGGACTGTATTATAATAGAACTGGTATATTCGCTATCTCAATTACATACTTTCGCCGGATTGACTGTCGCCGGTGGCTGTCGTGACGTCACGTCATGCCGGACTCCCATGTCGTGACGTCACGAAATCGTTTAATGGAAAGTGGGTGAAATCCTTTAAATATGATTCATGAATGATCCATCCTTAGAGATGGATCATTTTCTTAAAATTTTAATGAGACCTTACTGTGGTGCCACCTTTCCAACAAAAAAGAATAATCGAAATTGGTTCACAAATGCCGCGGAGTAATCACGTAATATAAAACACACAAAGAAAACAGTCAAATTGAGAACCTTTTCTTTTCAAGTGAGTTAAAAATACAATACAATCATTGTAGGATTTCATAGTAAGGTAATAAATAAAGTGGATTATCCACTTTATTTGTATTACTTCCATTGACTTACAATTATATTTTTTTTTTTTTTTTTTTTTTTTTTTTTTTTATAACGCACACACTCTACATAGCCCCGCACTAGGGAAACCCTGTGTCGCGGGTGCCATGGACACACATATAGATAAACACAAATTACACCCAAACTCACGAGAGAAATAATTGTAGACCATACAAATATTTCTCCCGGCCCGGGAATCGAACCTGGGACCTCTGCGTGGCAGTCCGGCATGGTAACCGCTCGGCCACGGAGGCAGTTATTATATATATTATATGGACGTCGGGTCCGCGCTAAAAAGTGTCCGCCGCTAAAATCGTATACAGAGCGCTATCTCCGCTTTAGTCTTCATTTGTTCTACTGACAGCGCGATACTGCGATGACATTACAATTTAAATTTCGAATAGGTTGACTTGGGACATTTTTTTCGTGGTTTTTGTATTAGACCCGTCGTCCATTTATTTGTAAGTCAATGATTACTTCTCTATCTTTGCTTATTTTCCAGCTGTGCATTTTCAGAATGTGCTAAATTTAACGAGCTTTCCAACTTGTTATTTTATTTAATTTTTTATTATTATTGACACACCTACAGTCCGCTACATATGTTGGTCCTTCGAGCCGGACGAATATTTGCCCTGTACCTAAAAGGTCACGTGTGATATGTCCATGTCGGTTGTCACTTTTTTTTATGATACCAACTGACGGGACGAACAAGTCGTACGCCTGTCATTCAGAGCATTAAATCACAAAGATCAGAGACACTGCAACTGAGCACGTCATCCTGAGACTTAAGTTGCCAAGTCCCATGTGCCTGTAATTTCACTAGCACCTTATATATTATATGTAGAGTTTTTAGGGTTTTCCGATTGCTATGTATTGGAAATTAATCTTTTTTTTTTTTCGGACCAAACCAATGTTTCGGGTTCTTTACAGGTCTCAAGTTAGTATCAATGGTATTAGTAAAGAGTCCAAAATGTTGGATTGTTTAAAAAAGCACTAATATACGCCACAGCAAACAGGTATACGTGACGCGAAATTAGTAAGATTAGCAGCTATCTCGATCTGAATAAAATAAAAAAAGACATTTGTTTCTCCACAAAACATAGGAAACACCGACCTCAGAAGTTTTTTTTTAAATTTTAATTTTAATTTATTGGTTCACCAACAACTGCTTACACTAAAACTACAGCTAGAGAAATACATAACATTGTTTAAAGGCTGAGTGCAACAGTTAATTACTGGTAAACATCTCATGCCATAACTAACTGCCTCCGTGGCCGAACGGTTACCATACCGGACTGCCACGCAGAGGTCCCCGGGTTCGATTCCCGGGCCGGGAGAAATATTTGTATGGCCTACATTTATTTCTCTCGTGAGTTTGAGTGTAATTTGTGGTTGTCTATGTGTGTGTCCATGGCACCCGCGACACAGGGTTTCCCTAATGCGGGGCTATGTTGAGTGTGTGCGTTATTTAAAAAAAAAAAACTGAAAACTCGTAATTAAGTACCTAGATTAAGATTAAGATTAATTAAGTTCGTGGAATTACATCTATTTGCCAAGTTTTATTAAAATCGGTTACCGGGAACTGCGCGAAACCGGATTCATCCCCTACTTTGCCACCCTTAAAGGTGGAATATTTTCTTCAAATTTAAATGGGATCAATATTGAGGTACCTTCTTTCCAACAAAAAAAGAATCATCCAAATCGGTTCACAAGGTCCGGAGTCATCGCGTAACATACATACAAAAAAATACAGTCGAATTTAGAACCTTTTCAAATTTTTAAAGTCGGTAAGAACTAATAGAAAATACAATTGAGTGACGTGGACATAAAGCTTAAAGACTCAGCATGGCTGATTTTCAGTCTTCACCTGTAGCTAGCTGTTCGCTTGCTGCACCAAGCTAATATGCGGAGTGTACACCAAGTAATAACCTACTGTAGCTGCAAGTCATCCATGCATCCGCCGCGCTCAACGCATCGGCGTGCACTGACCGGCAAGCGCGCGGCGGGCCCTATTTATGCCTTCGCGCGCAGCCGCGCCGTAACATCTCTATGTACTACTTACTCACTTAGACTTGTACTATTCCTAAGATATACAAAAGTATATAAGTAGTAACATTTCTTGAATAAAGCACACCAAGCTAGCAAGCCACAGCAATAGCCTTCGACTCCTGAACAACCAGTGTTTTATTTGCCTACCAGTAGCTACACAACAGGCTCCTAAACTACTTTAAGTAATAACTAGTAATAAGTCAAAGTTTAAAGGCTGTCTGTGTAAAGTTGTATTTTATTTCATTTATTTAACCTAAAATTTAACATTTTGTACTACTAGGAGTTTTAATTGGGGACCAGTTGTCAGGAGCAGTCACAGTGAGTCAAAAGACACTGGTTCGAGTCCAGACAGATTGAAGGATTTTTCTTTGTGCTTGTTTGATCTTTCTATTAATAATAAAAAAAGAAATATTATTTCCAACACCTGTAATTATAACGGCAGAGAGTCCTTGCATCATATGCTGGCGCAAGGGCAGCGCGTGGTGGACAATCCGGTATACCTGAGCGACCTGGGCGCGGCGCTTACTGGCGCCGAGCCTCAAGAACTGCAGGCCATCCTAGAAGAACTGGATGTAAGTTTTTTACTGTGACATTTTTAGATTGCTGTTTTTTAAAGTTTCTTGTAATATATATATATATATATATTATTATGTCAAGTAACGGGACCAACAAGTCTTGCACCGCCTTCTGTTGCAGTGCCTCTCAGAGCTTCCAATCGCAAATATCTGAAGGACATAAAGTTGACAAGTCCCATGTGCCTGTAGTTTCACAACCATGCTTATCCTTAAAAACCGAAACGCAGTAAGACTCATATTACTGCTTGGCGGCAGAAATAAATATGGTGGCAGCAGTAGCATAGCGTCCATTTCTGCCGCTCGGGGCCAACTTTAAGTTTGCTGCCTCCTCTATTTTCACGATTACAAAAATTGTTCGTTCGGCAAGGTTCGGCTCGATTGTGTTTTTATGTTCACCTTTGTGTTGTTCATGATATTGTTTTCTCAAACAGTGGAATTTATTTTGTAATTTTGTGTAAAACAAATAATTTTGACTAGTTATGGGTCAGACGCGCTCGTTGCCCTAAGCGTCCAGCAGTGACACGAGTCGAAAGTTTTCGTGCAACCGCCTTACCACGCCTTCATGTGCATTAATGGCCAATCTGAATTCTATTTACTACGCAACAACATTTAAATTCCTCGGAAAAGTACAACCGCTCGGCCGCCGCGCAGACCAAAGCGCAAAACGTAAAAAAATTTGCGTCAAATAAATACGCCATGGCATTGACCCCCTTTGCACCCCCACGCAACGCCCCTGGGTGGCAGTATATTTTACTGTTATTAAACTTAAGATAGACTGTTTTGGATAGGAAGCCGGATGCATCATTTTTGTGTACTTCCAGATCCCCAAAAGATTGATGATGTCACTATCACTGCTGAAGAAAGAATATGAGCTGTCCAAGCTGCAGCAGAAAATTGGCAAAGAGGTCGAGGAGAAGGTCAAGCAGCAACATCGAAAGTACATTCTCCATGAACAGTTGAAGGTAGTGTAGTCCCATGAACTCCATTCTAATTACTTCGCGATTGCATGATAACGTTTGCAGCTGAAAAACAGTTGTGTTTAACTGGTCTCAAACAAAATTGGTAATATTTTTGATGGCAAATATCGAATAACACAAAAAAAAATCCTACAATCTGACTGGACTCAAACCAGCGTCTGTTGTCACACCGGACGTTGGTTTTAAAAAAAATGGTAAATTAATTGTGTGTGTGTGTGTCCATGGCACCTGCTACACAGCGTTTCCCTAGTGCAGGGCTATGTTGTGTGTGCATTACTAAAAAAAAATTATAAAAATGTTTAAAAAAAAATTCTGCTCCGTGAACCCAGTGAAGGTACGATTTACGTATAAAATACCTGCGCTTGTGTTGAATATTTTGTCATGCAGTTAATTTAAAAATATAAAAAAAAGTCCGAAAAAGCATATTCAACACTTGTATTGTTCGATAAATTAATTTACGATTAACGAGGTAAATGAATTTATTTCCATTTTTATTGACATGGACTTCCACAAAGTAACGCCTGAATTTTAAACAACCTTTATGGCCGTCAGTGCCATCTGTGAGAAACTTAACTAAACCAATGGCTGACGAGAGTTGTCGCTATATTTATTGCAATATTTATTTTATAGGATATGATGTTTTTACTATAACATTTATATACTTTTTATGTCGCGCTGCACAAGGGATAATTTCAATCGAATTTCGATTTTTCTGACGATATTCAATAACAAGTTGATTTAAAAAAAGTGCCAAATGGTTTGTCTATTAATTTCAATTGTCAATGAGATAGTTTTTTAAAATTTATTGTTTCACCTAACAACAATTGACTAAAATTATGACTTTATTTATTTATTAGTATTTATTAAATTATGATTATTTTGAAATTTATGAATATTGAAAAAAAAAAACAAATTTGGTAGACACGTTTTTCAGTCAACTTGCTATTGAATATGGTCAGAAAAAATCTTGTTGAAATTATAATGATCTTGATGCAAATGCGATGCAGCCGCTAATCGTCAACCTTTACGCACGCGCGCGATTTTAAGCAGTATTTTTTATATAGTTATTAGTAATTTTAACGTTTGTTGTGTGAAATTTCTATAGAACGAAATCCGTCGCAGACATAACTTCAAGATAAGTATTATCAAATGCCTAATTGAATTTCAAATCGACATTTTAAATTGTGGTAACTGTAAAACAATATGAGGTGGTAAATCCTAAAAATAACATGTTTTTGTTTGTTGGCATTTTATATCAAATTTGGCTATTGTAACAAATATCATAGTAGTAAAATAATCATGGTATTCAATAAAATAAAGCTTGTTTTTTTTTGTTAACAGGTGATAAAAAAAGAATTAGGTCTAGAAAAAGATGACAAAGACGCAATCGGCGACAAGTTCCGCGAACGTCTGGCGGACAAGACTGTGCCAGAGGCAGTGCAGACGGTCATAGACGAGGAGCTGAATAAGCTCAGCTTCTTGGAGAGCCATAGCTCCGAGTTTAAGTAAGTTTATTCTCTATGGACATAGTATGATTGACAAGTAGAGGAACTTCATACGAACGTATAATCTGTCTTTTTTGAAAACGGAGTAAATTGACATTTGCAGGGTTGCCAGTTTAACAAAATTTTTAATAGTCATGTAGTTATTGGATAATATATAAATATTTGGATAAAAGAATTTCCATGGGTTACTGCACGGAAGAAAGAAAATAATGGAAATGTCATCAAGCAACATTTGTGTCAAAACCGGTGTCGCCACACGCACACATTTGAAAACGTAATTTTATGTTAGTACTAAGATAACATAATTTTGATTGGTTATAACCAGTCTATTACCAGTATTTATGTTGTCTGTGGGTTACTGATTTAAGGCACTGAGTGGCACTGTTAAGGTGCTTTTCCACCGGCGAGGCGAGACGAGATGAGGTGAGACGAGTGCGAAAACATGTATGGCAAAATTTCAATTCTCTCTTATCGCATTTTTGGTGGAAACGCTGTGGATTGACGAGGATGGGTGAAGCGAGAATTGAAATTATTTTGATGTAATATTGAACCGCATTGCTGCCTACATATTAAAGTCTGCAATGGAAACAATTTCTCGCGCAAGGTTGTGGGGTGTGTACAATTTGAGATTTAAAAAAAAAGATTTCTTCAACTGATTATTTCTCCGGCACTGAATTGTCACTACCCACAATCACAGCGCGAGTTTTAATGGCAATTTTAGATGGAAATAGGCTGGCTAGATTTCAATTCTTGTCTCGTCTCGCTGGTGTAAAACCACTTTTATGGGCATGCGTGTCGCTTACCATCAGTCGAACTTTCATCGTTGCTAATTTCTCCAGTGTAACCCGTTGCTATCTGGATTGGTTAACCTCCCTTCCATGGGGGAAGACATCCGAGGAGAACCTCAAGTTGGACGACGCTCAAGTGATCCTCGACGAAGATCATTACGGTATGGACGACATCAAGAAGAGGATATTGGAGTTCATTGCCGTGTCACAACTGAAGGGCTCCACGCAGGGCAAGATTCTGTGCTTCCATGGACCGCCGGGCGTCGGGAAGACTAGTATAGGTATGGTTACTTTAACAATGAACCAATCGACCCCTCCTACGTAAAGTATCGTATGTCGAAATTGCCAAGTTTACAGAGGAGCGTTTTAAAGTTCTAAATTCACTGAAAGAGTGATCACCATAGATCATCTAACCGATATCAAGGATTTTATAATACTCTATGTGAGTAATGAGCTTTGCCGAATAAAACTGAGAAATGCTAAGTTCACGTGTTATGTTCGTTTCAGTGAATTCAGAACTTTAAAACGCTGTAAACTTGGCAATTTCGACATACGATACTTTACGTCGGAGGGGTCGCAATGACTCAAGAGCCCTGCTAATCTCCATTCTACAGATGGTAACTCTGAAAAAGGTAAAAATTCCATCTTATGTCTAGATGGCGCTGATCAATTGCCTGGAAGTAGTTTATATTAAGTAAATGGAAATATAAAAAGTCGGTTTTTAATCGACGTATGTATATTACGTGATTTGTCCGGCATTTGTGAACCGATTTTGATGTTTTTTTTTATTGCAAAGAGGGTACCTGAGATGTGGTCCCATTTAAATTTGAAATAAGAAAGAAAATATTCCATATCTAGGGCAAACTAGAGGATGAATGACTTTTGAGGTCGGTTTTCTTATTACTCTGTACTGTTTTGTTTTTTATTTCCCTTGTAATATTATTCAAGTATTGATCATGAACTAACTTTTAATTTTCAGAACTTTGACAAATATGCTTATCAATAGATGGCATTGTGTGTCACAAAGTAACTTATAAATTAACGCTTCCTAATATGGGTAGATGACGCTAATCGTAAACGATAAAAGAACCGAGAACATTATCCATAAAAATCGGTACAATAAGCGCCATCTAGTTAATTTGTTTATTATCACTAGAAATTAGAGTAGCTTTAGTTTAGCTAAGGCTGCTAACAGATTGACTGCATGTTTGGTCAAGGTCTCGGCTGCATGAAATTGATAACGCCTTCACGCATTAACTCGAAGTAACACGCATGAAGTCGGTTACGACTGCATGCAGTTAATACGTGAAGTCGTTATCCGAGACCTCGACTGCATGAAGTTGATAACGATTTCACGCATTAACTGCATGCAGCTTGTCGATGTAAAGAAATAGGTATTTGGTAGTCGTCGCGACATCTGGTGTACTAATACGTACTAAATACCCAACTACGCTGTCTTGTATCGCCATTAGCAGTCCTCTGCAGTTATTGGTTCATGCTTTAACATAGATTCAAGAAAAATGAGCCTGGAAGATGGTCCATGAATTTTGAAGATATTTCGATTGGCATTCACAGATTTTGAGAAATGGTACAGTCAGCGATAAAAGGCATCATATCATGCCATTCGATCCTATTTCTGGTAAGAATTTGGCGAACAAAAAACAAACGTTCCACCGCTGCGTTACTAACGCTGTTCCTCCGCTAGTTACAATAATATTTAGGCACATAACGCACGTTAATAGTACATTGTGTATTAAGGACGTTAAATAAAGATTATAAAGAAATAATAATAATCAACGGGTCTATATTAGAATGTTTTATATTTGTTAACTATTAGCTATTTAATAACTCGACTTTTGTATTTTTTTTTTGTCCGTGATACATACAATGTTTTTCATCACATTTGCGAGGAAATAAATACAATGTTTAATTTTTGTACGAGTAAATATGGTTCACATCACAATATTTATGGATTGTGCAAATGGTGGGTATTTTATTCTTCCATAGATAATACAACTCGAACTAAAATGTTGAAAAAAGCAAAGACGCATACAGCGATAAATTTAAAAAAAATTTGCAAATTTTTATACAGAATAATAAATGATTAAAATCAAATAAAAGAAATTTTTAATAATAAATATTTATGTAACATGTGGCTGGATAACATTTTAAGCGAATGTTCTAATTTTGAACTTAAGTAACTTCCATGCTTGAACTTGAACCTGACCTATGTAACAAATTAAAAAAATTCTTTACCGACTATGGCTGCAGTGGGAAGACAGAAAAGGCCCGGGGGTTTTATTTGGGGCATTATGGTCAAGTTAGCCACAAAGTAATCATACTGTTTATGAGGAAGTCTTCTTCTTTTGCCTGGTCTCATTCCTATTTATTTGGGGTCGGCCCTTCTGGTCACTCTTTTCCAAGACGGTCTGTTCTGAGTCGTCTGTGGTCTTAACTGATGCTCTCGCAGATCTTTATTAATAAGGGATATCCGTGAGGCGGGGTCTACCACGTCTCTTGGGCTGGCTACTCTGTCCAAGGACTTTCCTTGTCCTATGATCAGGCGGTCGTCGCATAACGTCGTGGCATGTCGTAACATGTCCTTACCACCTAAGTCGGCTCTCTAGCAACTTTTCCGGAATAGGCATCCCTAAAACTGCCTCTGATGTGGATGTTTTTGGCGTGGTCTAATCTTGTAACGCCGCCCGCCTTAGCATTTTCATTTCCGCGATGTGTATTCTATTTTTATGCAGCTTTTTGAGACGGCAACATTCAGCGCCGTACATTATGATGATATGATGACCGTGTGATGAAAATCGTATTGTGGAAATGAGTAAAGACAAAATTACTTCTGCAGCCCGTTCGATCGCGCGCGCCCTGAACCGGCAGTACTTCCGCTTCTCGGTGGGCGGCATGACAGACGTGGCGGAGATCAAGGGCCACCGCCGCACCTACGTGGGCGCCATGCCCGGCAAGCTGGTGCAGTGCCTGAAGAAGACGGGCACCGAGAACCCGCTGGTGCTCATCGACGAGGTCGACAAGATTGGCAAGTTAGTGCGGACGCTTCTCTGCTTTATTTTGTTCACGTATACAGATTCAAATTCAAATCACCTTTATTTCAAAGGTAGTAAATTACATTTGAAATCGTTATGTTAATTAAACTCTACTGTTGAAGAATGAGCAACTCTATTAGTTGCTCTTTTAAAAATTTTCGACAATGGGACGCGTTTACCTAAAAAATGCCTATTCACTCTAGTCTTGAATGGCCCCAAATTGTACTTTTCGGGAAATATAGATAGAGCATTCTATTCCTTTGCCGTACGCATAATTATTTGAATACATTTAACATTTCAATATTTATTTCAAACATCTTAGATTGAGACTACCTGCAAGAGCTAACCAAGTCACTAACACGGATTCTTGTCATCCAAGCACGCAGAAGCTGTATAATAAATAACCTTCAGTAGGGTAACCTATCACAAACTCGGAATTTTATGTTCCGAAATAACGTTTGTTCGAATTTTCATTACACCGAAAACCGAATTATGACGAAACCGTTGTTCTTTCAGGATATGTTGGATGTTTATCGCAAAGACACGATTAGGTTCGGTTAAGTTAAAAGAAAAAACATTTTCCTCTCAAAATTACTTTCGAGGTTATGAAAATTCGAGCAAAGGTTATTTTTCTGGAAAATGTCATTTCGGACTAGTGATAGGTAACCCCTTTAGTATAAAATTTTTGTTTCACTATAGTTTTAAACCTCGTAAATAGCAAATTTTGAATGTTAACCATAATCTTATTATAGAATGCCTCTTAAATGACTTTGTGAACACGACTATCAAGAATAGCTAGTTTATTTTTACTCGTCGTGTTAACAGGTCGGTTCGACTCCCTGATGAGGCAACAATAAAAAAATAAAATAATAATAAATAATAATAATAATAATAACGTACACACTCAACACAACTAGGGAAACCCTGCACTAGGGAAACCCTGTGTCGCGGGTGCCATGGACACACACATAGACAACCACAAATTACACCCAAACTCACGAGAGAAATAAATGTAGGCCATAGAAACATTTCTCCCGTCTCAGGAATCGAACCCGGGACCTCTGCGTGGCAGTCCGGCATGGTAACCGTTCGGCCACTGAGGCAGTTAAACTAAGTTAAAAAATGATGTCTCCATGAAGCAAAATATCCTATCTGTAATATTTAAAGTACTTTCCTTCAGTGTGGTATAGCCGTGGGACACTCTGTATGATCTATGGTAGTTTTACACCTTCATCATGTATATATATTTTGCATAGTGTTGAAGAAGAACGAGTAAACTGGTTAAAAAAGCTCGGCACCTATTTGGTTCTGCTCTCTAAGAGCCTATGCACACAGCGTATTTTATACGCACCGACGAAGTGCAAATGACGCGCGTTAACGTGATTGAAACGCGATGCAGTCGCAGAGAATAAACCTTTACACACGTTCACAAATTCGTAGCGCCGTAAACACGCGTCGTCTGCGCGTATATACGCCACAGACATGCTTCGAACAGAGAAGGGACAGTTTTAATTTTAGTTTTGTTTGTTAATTTAAGACAATTTTTGAAATGAACCAACTAAAAAATGTGTCGTTCATTGTGAAAGTGAATTATGTCCTTGTAATTAAACTTTGAAATAATGAGCTCTCAGCAAATTAGTACAAATTTTTGTTCTCCGAGTAAACTAGTAATGCCATCTATGGGATGTTAGTGCAATTATTGGAGTTGCTTTACTTTTAAAAAAATGTGTTTTAAAATATGGACTTACACCACTTTTATAATGATCGACGCAATTATAAAAGCACGCACACTGCGTCTTTTTAAACTCGGTCCCTATAAGATTAAAATTCCGGTTAACACTTTCAATACTGATCTTTATTCTCAGGCCGATAGAAAATAACATTTTTCGTACACTAAAAAGTTTCTCAGCACTGGAACAGTGAACATGGCATCATAGATTTACTACATAGGTACCCATATACTAAGTCCATTGACGGCATCTATTAACAGAGGCGTCCATGGCGACCCAGCATCAGCCCTTCTGGAGTTGCTGGACCCAGAGCAGAACGCGAACTTTTTGGACCACTACCTGGACGTGCCCGTGGACCTTTCCAAGGTGCTATTCATCTGCACCGCCAACGTCGTCGAACACATTCCCGAGCCGCTTAAGGACCGGATGGAGCTCATTGACATGTCAGGTCTGTCAATTATGCACTACTTTATGTCACAAAAACAAAGAAATGTCATTGTCAAAGAGTGAGTGCAGGTGTGCTAATATTAGTACTGCCGTCCATTAACTGAAATGTGGCTAAGTGACAAATGGTCAAATATCTGTTTCAAATAGAAAGAGACAGAGCAAAAAATTCTATTTTAAAAACATTTAAAATTAGTTAACGTGTTCAACTTATCGGAACTTACCCTAACGATGCATAGCTGAAATGCCATTGAACAATTTCAGTATTCTAAAACTGGATTATGGTTTTTTATGACATCTCAAAAAATATTTTAGTTAGCGGATGGCAGAGTACGCCAACTATTAAAATAAGAATAAAGAAGGCAACAATTCAGTTGGTAACATCGAGTATATAACCAGAAATAGGAACGATATAAGGGCCACCCATCCCTGGCAACTTATCAGGCAAATGGACCGATAGAACGTCGTACATTCAAAGTTCAATCATCTTTGGCAAAATTTTATCTTCTTTCACAATCTATCGATAAAACTATCGACAACTACTAACTAGGTGGCTTAGTCGGTATAGCGTCTGCCACGGTAAGCTAGAAGACGTCGGTTCGAATCCGGCCGGATCGAAGGAATTTTTTCTGAGTGTTCGATCTTTGTATTAATAATTATAACAAACTAGTGGAGTAATTTCACAAAAAAATAATTGACTATCTATTCAATAAAAATTTAAAATACAGCGAATAGCGACATCTCTCGCCAGGACTGGTAGCTGTAAAGGTACTAACTAAGTGATAAATCTTTCATAGATTTCTCATAGATGGCGCTACGACTAAAAAGTCGTTGAAAAGCCAAATACAATGGCACGACGCAAGCACATAGAAAAATTCGTAAGGTCCGCTGGTTCGTTCCGTGGTTTAGTTGGTATAGCGTCTGGCACGGTAAGCTAGAAGACGTCGTTTCGAATCGAATTATAACTACTAACTATTTAAAATTTTATGAAAACTGACAACCCTACAAATGTCATGTTACTCCGTTTTCAGAAAAGACAGACTATAACTTTTCTATGTTATCTGAGGATCTGGGTGTTTGTGGTACCGTCGTTGTTTCCGATTTCCATAACACAAATGCTTAATTACTTACTTTAGGATCAGAGTAATGTACATATGTGATGTTGTCTAATATTTATATATATATTTATTTTCTCTTTCAAACAGGCTACGTAGCCGAAGAGAAACTGGCAATAGCGCAACAGTACCTTCTGCCCACAGCGCGTAAAAACTGTGGTCTGAGCGAGGAACAACTAGATCTGACCTCAGACAGCCTCCACGCACTGATCAAATCGTACTGCAGAGAGAGTGGCGTCCGGAACCTGCAAAAGCACATCGAGAAGGTAACATTTTGTCCTAAAATAAAAAAAATGACGAAAATCATTCGTCCAGGAAAGTACTGCCACCTTACCTATTTCTGTCGCCAAGCAGTAATGTAAGTGTGTGAGATTACTACATTCCGGTTTTGAAGAGTCACCTTAAGTCTCTGGGTGACGGGTGCAGTGGCATCTTTATGAAGCTCTGAGTGTCATGGCAACTGCTATGGACAGGCGTGTCGCTTACCACCAACACTTACGACGATAAGGTATAAATTGCAATGCTCTGACACCGACCTCGGAAGGTCACGGCACATGTCTCTGCACCTTTTTTCTCACACGATCCTTCAGCTGTAAGATATTTCTGCGTTATAAAAGACCAGCAGCAGTAGAGCTCCTTGTGAAAGAGTTCGTCTAGGGAAGTACTACCACCTTATCTACATCTCCCGCTAAACAGTAATGTTAGCATTACTGCGTTCTGGTTTTTAAGGGTAAGGGTGCTTGTGAAATTACAGGCATAAATGGGTCTTGTTAATTTATGTCTCAGGGTGACGGGCGCATTACCCCTACGATTGAAAAGACTGATTAAAAAATTGAAAAAAAAAAACGTTTTTGTTGACATTTTTTGTGAAATAACTCCACTAGTTTTCTTATGATTATGAATACAGAGATCGATCTCAATAAATACATTTTATCGAAAAGGGACATTCGCGTCAGTTGTGATATCTGTAAAGGTATCGGCTGCGGTGAGGTTATTAAAAAATCTCTCACTAGATGTCACTAGCGGTGACGAATGCCGAACGCCAGTACAAAGTTTTAAAACAAAAATACAGGGGAATTTCGACGGCTCGGTAACTGGACCCGTAGCTCAGTTGGTAAGAGCAATGCTACGGTGTAGCACCCACGTGGATTCAAGTCCCACCGGGTCGACGAAAATTTTTCAGTGTGTTCGATCTGTGTATTTATTATATCATAAAAAAACATTCTCGGAAGTTGAACTACTTTACCGATATTGGGCTGACGTGGCGGAGAACGGACTAAGTTCTCTCCTCAGAGGACCTGTGTCCAGTAGTGGGAATTATAATGGTTACGAGAAATATTGCGCAGACCACAGCTATATACTTGGTGCCTCTATAGTGATTTTATGTGTCGTTCATTGTAACAGTGAATTTATCTCCTTGTAATTAAATTTTGTCACTTATTCACTTTTATAATGAATATTTAGCAGTTTTAGATCCATATGTAATAGTAATAATAACGCACACACTCATAGTCCCGCCCTAGGGAAACCCTGTATCGCAGGTGCCTTGGACATAGACAACCACAAATTACACTCAAACTCATTAGAGAAATACGTGAAGGCCATACTATTCGTTCAGCCACGGAGGCAGGCTAATGAACAAACAAGTAACGCCATCTATGGGATTTAAGCGTTTACTGAATTTACTTCACTTTTACGTTGAAAGATATACCATTAAACAAAAAAAATATGTATTTTAAAAAGACGGAGTTACACTACTTTTACAATAAGCGACGCAAATATGAAAATCAACACAACTACACTTTTTTGTGTAGAGTTTTAACGGCGTGAGCTTACAGCCTATTCTTCTTTTCGACCCCTCCTACTTAAAGTATCGTATGTCGAAATTGCCAAGTTTACAAGGGAGCGTTTTAAAGTTCTCCGTCTCATTCGGCAACTCGTTACTCATATAATAATAATAGAGTGATCATCTAACCGATGTCTAGGATTTTATAATACTCTATGTGAGTAACAAGCTTTGCTTAAAACTGAGAAATGCTAAAGTCACGTGTTGTACTTATTTTAGTGAATTCAGAACTTTAAAAGGCTCCCCTGTAAACTTGGCCATTTCGACATACGATACTTTACATAGGAGAGGTCGATTTACTTTTATTCATTTAATAATAATAATAATAATAATTTGTTAGTAAAGAACTTAGGAATAAGGTTAGTATTCCTAATATGCTATTCAAATGCTAAAATTACAATAAAATAAGATAATGTGAAACAAATAAAAAATGAAAAACATAATAATTATACAATTCAAATCCAAAATATAAACCACGAATACAACATTAAATATAAAATTATAAAATTGAAAATAACAAAATTGAAAATAAAAAAATTTAAAATTATAGAATTGAAAATTACAAAATTGAAAATTACAAAATTGAAATTATAAAATTGAAAATTATAAAATAGAAATTAATTTAACATACTCATGTAAACTTAAACTAAACCGCCACATGAAGTTTCATCCAGTGGGCCTGGATGGGGCAGTCAATTTTATTAACCACAGTTTTTTGGTTTCACTTTTCATTTAGGTTTTCAATCATTATATGACATCAAAAGTCACGACCACACTATTATTATTTTGACAGATCGCCCGCAAAGTCGCGTTCAAGATAGTAAAAAAAGAAACAGACAAGTTGGTTGTGACGGATTCGAACTTATCCGACCTGGTTGGCAAACCGACGTTCAAGCACGATCGAATGTACGAAATCACGCCGCCAGGTGTAGTTATGGGCCTAGCCTGGACTGCGATGGGTAAGTTATTTTTTAATATTAATTTACAAAATAATGAATCCACTAAAATCACACTTTTAATTGAGGTTATCAGCGCAATACTTGTGTAACCCACATTCTACTTTCTTCTACAATATTGAAATCAAATCATTTATTTGCTACAAACATGGTGGTCAAGACAACGAAGTAGTATATTAGGGGTTAAAGTATGAAATTGCCGTTTTATTGCAATAGATTCTTTGAATTTTCATAGAATCTTCATGGTTTGAGGTTTTCGAATGAAACTTTTTTCAAATGGTTTCTGTGATTTTTTTTTTTTAAATTTGAAACATTTGAATATCGACTTTCAATTGTTTTTGTTATTCAATTTAGACAAGAAAGATGGATACTGCGAAAATTCGAGTGATTTTTGAGTACGAGTTCCGACGCGGAACTAACGCGGCAGAAACAGCCCGCAATATCAATGCTGCGTTTGGAGAGGGGTCTACTAATGAACGCACCGTGCGATTTTGGTTTAAACGCTTTCGTGATGGAAATTTCGACTTAAAGAACGAGCCACGAGGAAGACCGCCCACACAGGTGAATAACGATGAATTAAGAGAGATAGTGGAAGCCGATCCTAGTCAAACTACCCAGGAATTAGCGGCATGGTTTAACGTTACCTTACCCACAATATTGACTCACTTGCGTCAAATCAATAAAATAAAAAAATACGAAAAATGGGTGCCTCATGATTTGACTGATCTGCAGAAAGAAATGCGTGTTGAAACTTGTGTTGCCTTGTTGAACCGGTACAGAAATGAAGGAATATTGGATCGAATTGTAACATGTGATGAAAAGTGGATTCTTTATGATAACCGGAAAAGAAAAATGCAATGTCTGACCCCAGGTCAAATGCCACAACAGTGTCCTAAAGCAAAACTTACCAATAAAAAGGTAATGGTAACTGTTTGGTGGTCTCAGCATGGTGTTATTCACTATAGTTTTCTCCGATCTGGTCAAGCAATAACGGCAGATGTCTATTGTGCCGAACTCCGAACCATGTTGACAAAACTAGCAGTAAAACAGCCCCGACTCATGAATCGATCTTCACCATTATTGCTCCACGACAACGCGAGACCTCACACAGCACGAGAAACCATTTTGACCCTTCAGGAACTGCAGTTAGAAACCATTCGTCATCCTCCGTATTCACCAGACCTTGCTCCAACGGACTACCATTTTTTTCGTGATTTGGACAATTATCTACGTGACAAGAAGTTTTCTTCCCAGGAGGCAGTACAAAATGCTTTCACAGTTTGTGCAGTCTAGATCGTCGGAGTTCTATCGCAAAGGCATTAATAACCTTCCCATTAGATGGCAGCAATGTATAGATAATAATGGCAACTATTTTGATTAAATAAATTTGTTAAAAATTTAAAAAATAAACAATTTAGATTTTCAGTACAAATCGGCAATTTCATACTTTAACCCCTATTAGTAAGTACAAACATGTTTCACCACAAAATTTAACAATAATGCAAAAAGTTGATCGTCTCATGGCATCGAGTATGTAACGAGAAATAGAGACGAAATGTCATTTAATTGTTTGAAAACTATTCTGCCAAATCATTACGGTGACAACTGCGCTTCGATTGGCCAGCCCGAGTTCGAAACAATTGACGGGTGTCGTCAATTGTTTCACTTCAAAGCGACCAGTTTACTTGAGATTTGCTATAATGTACGAAAATTGACAAATTACTTATTTAATTACCGATGAAATGTGATTCCTTTTATTTTGTAATTAGATGTTGTGCTGTTTTTCCCCACATCATCGAATGGAACAGCCCCCCATTGTTAGAGATATTATCTTTATTACAATAAATACAGAATATTTTTGGAATATACGACGACGTACACAGGTCAGTTGTTGGCGCTGAACTATTTTAGTTTTATGCTGTGTTAGTTCAGTGCAAACTAGAGTTGATATTTATAATAATAATAATAATAACGCACACACTTAACATAGCCCCGCACTAGGGAAACCCTATGTCGCGAGTGCCATGGACACACACATAGACAACCACAAATTACACCCAAACCCACGAGAGAAATAAATGTAGGCCATATACATATTTCTACCGGCCTGGGAATCGAACCCAGGACCTTCGCATGGCAGTCCGGCATGGTAACCGTTCAGCCACGGAGACAGTTATTATATATGTTTAAAAGTGATATAGGGTGAATTTCACTTTCCGAATTTCAATGGCACTTTTTGAGTGATTTTTGTAAGACCCTTTTTTCTTTTGGTTTTAAGGTCTTAAACGTACAAATAATTTCAAGCAATAATTATAAAATCACAGAAATATTTAAGTTAAATACAACAATAAACAATATTTTAGGTCACACGAATGAGATTGCAGTAACACGAATGATTTTCTCATAAACACAAATGAGAAAGACGGCACAGTAATGAGAAATTAGTATTACAACACACATTTTATCGTTTCCAAAAAAACATTTAACAAATATTTTAGTATAATTTAGGAAATGAAACTTTTTTCCGGATTTAAATCGCGTATGACTGAGTCACGGTTGACAGAGGTGGTAGAGTCTTATTGTAATAGTCTTACAGTAATATAAGTTCTTGTATCAAAATCCTTCTCATCCGTGTAAGACCATCTATCTATCTATATGTAATGAATAAATAAATCTAAATAAGTATTTTATTAATGTCATGTAAACTTTGTTGTACATCAATATATCATCATCACCACCATCAACATTATCATCATGATCACCATTATCATCAGCATCATTACCATTCATATCATCATCACAATTATCGTTATCATCACTACAATCATCATCGCCATCATCACCACGAAAATCATCGTCACCACCTCTATCACTATCTAATTGTTATATTTCAGGTAAATGTTTGGCTTAAAGTAACTATTTGACTTAAAAGTAGACAAGAATGAGAGCGACAATAATGATATCTGGATATATTTTTAATTGTCAACTGTGTAAAATATGCTGGACCGTTAGAAAAATGCATGGATTTTAAAGTTCCCTTTGTCTAATTGATGTACAGTAAAGTTTATAAAACTATTACTTAATACTTATTTAGTTAGATTGCTTTACATGAATGAGAACGATTTAGTCACTAGCGCTGAAATTGGTATTTAAGTCGATTTTTTGCTAAAACGGAGATGCACAGGTTACTTCACTGTGTACACTTCAATCCGACAGGAGCCCCTTCTCACGTGTGCGAAGGGTGAAGGTGATGCGGTACGAACTTTTGTTATTAGGAGGCTTTTAGTTGAATTGACACTAATGATAAGAAAAATTGAAACACATATTGTATTCCCAAGAAAACATGTTTATTTATAATAAACTGGAAAGTTACGGTACGTATTCGACGTGTAAGTTATAAGAGTTTATCCTCGATGGGAAATATTGCGTTTTCCACGAGTGTTTAATTTCTTTTCTTCTTTTCTTAAAATTAGGGCGGCGTGGAACCGGCTCCCATGATAGAGAAATGGCCCACTTTTTTAATTTTTATTTATTACTGTGACGTAGTAAAGTATTCTTTTTATGTGTAACACACATTATGTAAGCAAGCAATCATAATAAATAAATAATGCTTAGCATTCATGTAATAACATAAAAGTTATTGAAAGGGACACATTTTTGGAGGTTATCTGAAAACGTCCCTATAAGGCCCATTTGCATGATGAGTTACCAGGGATGGTTGGAACTTATTTCGCCTCTGTTTCACTGGTACTTAAATTTATTTCAAAATTATTAATTAAAAAAATTTCCCTAATAGTATATTATACTTCGTCTCTTAACAATTCATATAATTTCGTCATATATAACGCGCACACGCGCGTACACTCATCACGCACAAACGAAATAATGTATCGCGGGTGCCATGGACACACACATAGACAACCACAAATTACACACAAACTCACGGGAGAAATAAATATAGGCTATGGCCTACACAGAAAGTCGTTTATTCACAGGTGGCAGCACCCTGTACATCGAGACGGCCCTCCGAAATACGCACCAAGACGAGAAGTCTCCCTTCGGCTCCTTGGAGCTGACGGGCCACCTGGGCGACGTCATGAAGGAGTCAGCCCGCATCGCCATGACGGTCGCGAGGAATTACATGGCCGTTTACTATCCAGAGAACACTTTTTTGAATACCAGGTAAGTTCTGTAATTGTTGCAAAGAACACTGATATTTTTATAGAATTTTTCTCAAACATGCTCGGAAATGTTTGTATTACTTTCAAAAAAGAACTCACAGAGTAATTTTATGGAGGGTGCAACTTTATATGTCCGCTACTCTAAACTTTTAAATATATCTTCTGACAAAGAGCTATGTAAACAGACTAAAGAAAATTTTCATACAGCCACGGAAGAAACAAAACAATGGAAGTGCCTTGACCCTCGATTACTATCAGAACCGCTGTTGCCAAAATTCACACATTCATAATATGTTCCTAAATTAAAAATAAATAAAAAAATCTGGTCTGTTAATATAATTTAAACTTACCGTGTTAAGTGCGCCATCTGTTATTACAAGTTACGACGTTTTGATTTTAAATTGAAATTTCAATCAATGTGCAAATCTAGCAGTTAAAAGCTGAACGACGATGAAACTCAAGGTGTTCACTTAGTTCTTTAAAAAAGAAGCGACCATATTGCATTGTTATAAAGTTTATATTTTCGTTTCTAGTAACAATATTTTTGTATTACGATAAACAGAAAATTGAATATGATATGTATGACACACCACCACAGACAATATTACAAGTACGATTGTAATTTTTGCACTCCGAAGTAACAAAATAAGGTATTTTCTACGTTTTTCGAGACTTTGCGCGAGATAATTGACGGAGCTTAAGTATGTGGCACTTCGCGAACTGTTGGCCCGCGTGTAACGCAAACTAAGCACTTATACTCTATTAATTGTTTTGTGGTTATAACAAACGAGCGTTTTAATTGTAAGAGCTTCTGCATCCCCGTCCCCGTTATCCAAAGACTTGTCAATACTGTGGCACAGCTAAGGAATGACCTGTAAGTAAGTAAGTCGTATCCTCCATAGCCACGTGCACCTGCACGTGCCGGAGGGCGCCACGCCTAAGGACGGCCCGTCTGCCGGCTGCACCATCACCACGGCGCTGCTGTCACTGGCGCTGCGCCGACCTGTGCGATCCGACCTGGCCATGACCGGGGAGATCTCCCTCACGGGCCGCATCCTGCCCGTCGGCGGAATCAAGGAGAAGATCATTGCAGTAAGTATCCTAATCCCACATTTGTCAACAGGACCCCAAGTCTAACTATAGTGTGTCTTTTTTGGAGACGGGGTAAAATGACAGTTCATTGCGCTAAAGTGTTCCCCGCTTGCAAGAAGCTAGTGATTGCAGTCGATAAATATTCTATCGACTATCGACTGAATTTTGTTCACGCTTATGGAATAAATACCAAAAAAATAGTCAAATCGGCCTATCATTCGTCCAATTACTGGGCACAGGCTGATTTAAAATGTAAATTTTTGTAAGTTTATACATACTTACACTGTAGAACACAAACACGAACACGAACAGTCTATGAAAAATACAACGAGGAGACGTTTTTTATAATTTTTTATTTTAATTCAATTTAGATAATCAAATCCGCTTATTCTTGTTAAAATGTATATGAATAAAAAATTATTTTGGCACTAGGTGGTCAACTGTCAAAATAAGACTAAAGATGGTAATAAAGTAAAATATCCCAATTCAAATTCAAATTCCATTTATTTGCCACACACACAAAAATAACATAAAACATACAAATGAAAAATCTAATATACAAATAGTACTCATACACTATAGTTAGCATTTAAATAAATACCGTGCTAATACTATACTAGTCTAATATACTAATAGTATTCTAATACACAAACACAAAACTATATATATGTTTTTTTTAATGTGTGGCGAGGAATTCTGAGTTCACTATATATATTTTCAGCCAGAACCTCTCTGGCAGGAGCTACGGTCTCACGTTTACGCGTTTGTGTAACAGATAATTTATGAAACAAAATTCGCACAGACCATTAATTAAGCTATTTATGAGGAGCGCGAAAGTAGAAAAAAAGCAAAATAGTAATAATAATTTACACAATAAAAACCGTTACCGATTGTTAATTTCAAAACAAAAGATAAAATTTCCTTAAATGGTAAAAAGCGGAATAAAAAAAGAACGAAAAAAAAATGTTTGAAGGAGAACAAAAATACAATCAAAAGCACAACAGTTACAAAACATGTCTAATATTTACTACATATCGCCGCAGGAAAGCGATCTTGTCGTATTTCGAAAAATAGGACTACACCGGGGCCGAAAAACTATTTAAAAAAATGATTTCTCTTTAATTTGAATTAGTAGAAAGTCATTCAGTCAGACAGTCATTTTAAAGTATGGTTAGATACATCCTACTTTAAAATTGACTTTCTACTAATTCAAATTAAAGAGAAATTATTTTTTTAAATAGTGTTTCGGCCCCGGTGTAAAGTCCTATTTTTCGAGATACGACAAGATCGCTTTCCGGCGTCGATATTTCGATGACCCTGGGGTGATTCAGCATCCTTCTTTTGAGCAGTTAAAAACATTTTCCACAGTTTGGACTTAAAAGTTTGCTGGAACATATACATTATAACACAATTAGTAGTCAATATAACGTCATGACATTCACAATTCAGTCATTAACTGCCTCCGTGGCCGAACGGTTACCATGCCGGACTGCCACGAAGAGGTCCCAGGTTCGATTCCCGGGCCGGGAGAAATATTTGTATGGCCTACAATTATTTCTCTCGTGAGTTTGGGTGTAATTTGTGGTTGTCTATGTGTGTGTCCATGGCACCCGCGAAACAGGGTTTCCCTAGTGCGGGGCTATGTTGAGTGTGTACGTTATTTATTTATTTATTTATTTTTGGTAAAATTTTATCTTCTTTCACATTCTATCGATAAAACTGTCGACAACAACTACATGACTATTTTAAATTTTGTGAAAACTGGTGACCCTACAAATGTCATTTTACTCCGCTTCAAAAAGACCGATTGTTAGTTGTATTGATGTCAGGATTTAGTACTTTTAATATTCTGCAAAAAGTAAGAGTAGTAGCTTGATCGTGAGTGGCCATCGAGATACTATTAGATTAAAAGTTGTTTTTCTTATTTATTGGTCATACTTTTGCTTGTACTTTTTTATCGTGTAGAATGTTTGACATTATAATGTTTTTAACTAAATGCGGAGAAAGACGTAGCGTCTGTCATACAGTTTTATTTAAAATTAATGCGGTCGTTCAAGTTCGACCTTATCTCGAAGAATGGAAATCCACTTGTCCCCGACAGTGGGGACAGTTGGTAAGGCCTACTCGACTGCTATTGCAATTTTTTAACATGGCGTACTACGAGTAAAAAAACACGTAATAATTACATAAAGGTGGTATAATACGTTTGAGAATTTTGTTTCACGGTATTTATTTAAATGCTTTGTTTACAAAATAATTGTATGAAATGGTACCTGATAGAATTTCAGTACAGAGTGCTCAAAAGTTCTCAAAAGCCGGTCTCAAAAGTTCGTGGAATTACATAAATTTGCCAAGTTTTATTGAAATCTATTACCGGAAAGTGCGCGAAACCGGATTCATCCCCCTACTTTGCCACCCTTAGAGGTGGAATATTTTCTTCAAATTTAAATGAGACCAATACTGAGGTACCCTCTTTTAAAACAAAAAAGTACCATCAAAATCCGTTCACAAATTAATTACTTACAGGAGTTATAAAAAAACCACAGTTGAATTGAGAACCCCCTCTTTTTTCAAGTCGGTTAAAAAGACCAGAAATTTCCTTCTGTTTATACTAGAAAAACGAAATATAGATGGCGCCTAAATTAACTAACAATGTAGCTTGCATTCTTTCTTATTTTCCAGGCAAAACGAGTGGGCGTCAAGGTAGTAATTCTTCCAGAAGAGAACCGTCGCGATTTTGACGACCTGCCCTCCTTTATACGCGAAGACATCGACGTCCATTTTGTTGCGGAGTATGAAGACGTCTTTAAGGTTGCCTTGGAACAGGTCTAGTTTTTGTCTTCGTAGATTTCATTTTAGCCTAGCTAAAGGTCTGAGTTAGTTTTTTTTATCTAGTTACGCTCTGGAGAAAAGCGCGACGACTTTCCTCGTCCATACTGCTTTGATTAATTTTATTTTATGAATCGAAGAAATAAAATAACAAATTCAAAATTCTACCCAATGAGGTTACCAGACGGTGCGATCTGATTGGTTGATGATGTAAATTAGGACACGCTTGGTCACAAATTCACATATAATAGTAGAAATTTATATTAAAAAATAAAATGACCCAGAACGGAGTAACTAGATGAAAAAATCTTCCTTATGCTATACTTGTATATAAGTATGTTTTTGGTCGAATTTTGAACTGTAGCTTTAAGTTTTAAAGTTGAATATCTGTTGCTTAGATTTTACTTAGAATTAGTAGTTTTTAGTGTACTAGGTAGTTAATTAAAAAAGGACGCAGTTTTCAAAGTACATTACTGTTATATTTTACTTTATAAATTCTTATATCACAGATATAAATCTAAATAGACACCGCAACTACCCATGTGAAAACCAAGCGTGCCACATTTCCGGTTACGTCACAAGCACTATTTAGTGATGGGAAATTTCCTTCGGCACTAAAGCGATTGATTAAATCGAAGACGCGGTCGCACCACGTACTTATTTAGAATAATAATTTTTCACGTATTTATCGATTATAAGAAGTCGTGAAATATTAATATAGTAAAATAATACCAGAATAAGATAGTTAAGTCCTTTAATATGTCTTTTGAAAAAAAAGTTGCTCCGGAAAACTAAAAAAGAACAACAACAAACTTTATAGAATATTTTTGTAACTTTGTTTCCTAGATCGATCAGAATCGAGAACTTGATTCTTGACTTGACCAAATCCATGACAAAGCGGCCGTACCATGAAACTGAATGATTTATACAAAAGTATCGCTTGTTCGATATTCATGACCTATTAAAGAAGGACCATAAGTGTACCGCACCAAGTAAAAGCTGCAATGTATTATGAATCACGCGGCATACACCCGATTGTATATTTGTTTTCTCAAAATTCATTCAAAATGAAAATAATTGATTTTAAAATAAATTATGCATATTCTGATTACAAAATTACATAACAGTGGAAGGAAACGTCCCTGATTATGTATCTTCTCACAGCTGTGGTGTTTTTGTAGTTCCTAATGCCATAATTCGCATTTTTCGCGTTTTCGACTGATATTTAACTACATTGTAGCAGCGGCAACTAAGCGTTTATAGTTTACGTTGTTAGACACACAAAGTAGGTACACTTGCGGCGTCTATTTAGATAACAGTACGAATATTTTCTTGTAAATATTGTACAATCAAGCCAACTACAGTATATATAATATAATATAATATGTTTAATACATTTTATATAAATTTACACAAAATCTCACAAAAATTGTAAAGAATTTAGTTATGTAATTAAAAACAGACGTGTTTGATAATTGCGTAACAACAACGGAACAACAAATTAGTGGAGACGTTGAATCCCAGTAGTTCCATGTGGAAACATTAAGAGCGATTATACACGGCGATTTCAAGCAGCGACGCAAGCGCGGGACTGCATCGATGCAAACGCGATGCAAGCCCGCGACTGCATCGATACAAACCCGCAATTGCATCGCTTCACTTGAGATTTACAGGCGAGTGCATCGATGCAATCGCCTATAAATCGCAAGTGTATATATGTATAGTTTCACGAACGAAACGAAACTAAAGTCGCCGTGTGTAACCACTCTAACGTTATAATTATTCCCATTAATTCCATGTAGTGGAAATGGCGTTAGTATCAAAACCGGTGACGTCGCACGCACATACTTGTGAACTAATCTTACATTAAACTACTAAAGTAACACTCCTATAATCTTGATTGGACATAATTATCAAACGACAATTAATCTTATTTGAAGCATTGAGTACAGTCCTGGAATACAACCCTTAGGGTCATATTCTAGAACTCTACTCAATGCTCAAGTCAGGATCTGAGAATGATATCAAGCACTGGAAATACGACCCTAATGGCAGGGACTTGAGTATGATTTCGAGTGCTTTAAACCTTACTCAAATCCTGACTTGAGCACTGGGTAGAGTTCTAGAATACGGGTTTTAAAGTCAATTAGCGTCATCTGAACGTTCGCGTTCCAAAGGGTGTCGACGGCGCAGATGTGCGTTCATCTGAACCTAGCCTAAAGCTACTTTAAAATATTTTTTAAAGCGCGTTTTCCAAAATGTAATTTCCCCAAAACGTGCATTCTCAAAAATCACAAGTCTACAACGCATTTCTTAAAAGACTATGCTATCATAAATAATATTATGTAGTTATAATGTAAGCTACTTGTTGGTTGGTATGGTAATGTATATAGAATCCATTGTCAAATAATAAATGCCCGTATTTTTTACATGTAGTTTGTATGTCTACTTTGTAGAGGCAATTCGAAGGCTGAAGCTTGGATTGAATTTTTAAATGCATGTTATGTTGTTAATAAAAATAGTTAATTAATTCAATATAACAATGTGGCAGAAGTAATTTTAAATAGAAAACTGTCGTGGGACTCGGACGTATTTATGGTATTATAAAAAAAAAGGTAACAAGTTGGTTGGTGGTTTCAATCCGTTTTGTCGGAGCCAACCAGAAATGGGCAAGCGCCCGGGTTTTAACTCGGCGCTTTATTAATGCCGGGTTTAAATCGGGTTAACTCCCATTAATGCCCAAAATCTACAGGATTGCGATTGGTGGATATAGTGTGGAGTTGTCTCATTTTCATTTAAACAAGACTTTTTACATCAAAATTTGTATTTGTAAGTATGGAATTATGCCGAATTCTGTATTCGCCGTTTCTGCCCATGATTTTGGGCACAATTTGATTAAAACGGCGCTTTGGGTAATAACACTATTAAAATCCGGCATTTTGGGAAAAGTCCCGGGCGGATTGATTGGGTTTTAACCCACTACCCATCTTTGGAGCCAACATGTAAGTGGTTATCATTCATTCATTTGATTAAGTGTTTTCTTGATGTATTGTTTTTATAACGGGGCTAACATGTTAGTTATGAAAGCCGGCTGTAGCATTCGTAACTCACACGTTAGATGGACTTAAAAAACCCAGAATATGTATTACTAAATTGAATAGGTCAAAAATTTGACAAAAATGAAGGAATATAAAATATAACTCTAAAAACTAATGCGAGATGCGACAATGTTGGATGTTGGAACCAAATTTCATTCCCACTGCTTTTGATTCCAATCGGTATTGAATCGATGGGGTGGTCTCGAAATCAGATGGGTTTCTGAGCGAGAAGATGAACCTGATTCCTACTATATCTTTCTAATTTGTGAGTTAAATCATCTATTGTTCCGATTAGAAAAGTCAAAAGTGTCCGATCGGCCAGTTGTGAATCGCAATTATGTGCCTTGACCTGGAAAAGACGCAGTTTCCGGTCGGGAGAGGCAATCAAAATCAATGCTGGTCTCACCATCGCACGTTACTCTGACCATGCGCCTAGTGCCTTTGATGTGTTGCAATCCACGGTTCGATTTAATGTTGCAATCGCTTTGAGTCGAGTGGCGCGTTATGTAACTTGTTCAATAATGATAAATCCCATAAATAAATTAAAAGTAATTAATTAATTAGTAATTAAAAGGAGTCTTATCATCGATCCATCGAATTTTAATCATGGTCATGGATGGTCGGTACCCCCCACCTGGAAAACAGGTGTCAGGTACTACGTTATTATGGTTAGTGCAGATGAGACTACAACGTGATGTGGTTAGAGCAGTGTGCAATCTATCCTACATATGACTTTAATAAGAATGAAGTTAACTAGGGTGATCGTCGAATCACCGCCACGGAAGCTCATCTAAGAACCACTGACTGGTTCGAAACATATCGAAAGTAATTTTTTTATATGATACGAAGTGACGGGATGAACAAGTCGCGTGTCTGGTGGCAAGTGACATGCCTGTCCATGGCGGTTGCAGTGCCACGTGAAACTTTAAATGGCAAAGATCTGCGGTGCACTGCCTCTACGCCTGTCACCCTTAGGCGCAACTCACACTGGCGCAGATTCGAAGCGTCGCGTCCTGTTTTTTTGACGCGCGAAGACGCTCGACTGCAACTAAGCGTTGGCGCGCGACTCCATATTTGCATAATACAAATTTGTACCTTAATGGTGGGAAAATAGAGATGAATATAATATAATATAGGCGAAAATGTGAGTTAAGCTTTAGACATCAGTTGACAAGTCCCATGTGGCTGTAATTTTACCAGCTTTCGCAGTAATGTGAGTGTGGCAGTACTTCCCTGGATGAAATCTGTCACAAGGAACTCTGCTACTAAAATGAAATTATTTATTATTTACAAAATAATAATTTAAATAAACTCCCACACATTTCTTTTCTAATATCGTTTTTTTGTTATTGGTTCAAATAATTAACTTCGTCGTTCCACAGATAACACAAGAGGAAGATATGCATAGGACTGCCAGGGTTTAAAATCCTAACTGGCCAGAAGTCACTATAACCTCACCCAGGTCTTAAGTCGCATGTTTAAGTGGTTCTTACGTTACAGAGAAGACTTGCATTTTTTATAATTATTTTAATTCTTAATTTTATTTGAAATAAATGATAATAAAACAATGTTTATATATTATTTTTATTGCTCTTAAGAATATTATTGATTAATTTAATATGGTACATTTACAGTTAAAAAATAATACTTAAAACTATACAATTGTAACAATTATATATCAGATATATCGCCCGTTTGCCAGAACAACATCATCATCATCATATCAGCCGAAGGACGTCCTACTGAACCTTGGCCACCCCCAAAATTTCCAGACTAGCCGATCGGACGCGACGTGCATCTATCGGTTACCCGACGCCCTTACCAGGCCATCCGTCCATCTAGTAGGGGGCCGTCCCACTGAACGCCTTTCTGCCCCAACGGCCGTTAGATCTACGAGCTATGTGCCCTGCCCACTGCCACTTCAACTTGCTAACCTTTTAAGCTATGTCGGCGACTTTCGTGCTACGGATCTTCTCATTTCTGATTCGATCACGTAGAGAAATGCCGAGCAGAACAACGTGTTATGTAGTTATTATAATCTCGATGTTTTAGGGATAACATATTGTTCTGGGAAACGGGCGATATATATTTGAAAATAATTAACAACATATTGTTGTTACTTTCCTTGAAATAGGTGCTGTTGGGAGCCTCTTAGGAATCAGGCAGTCTATTTTGTCCAACTGGTCAACATGCCCAAACGGTTCACTTTATATAAGCTAGCTTGCACAATTCATTCCGTCGCAGAACATTCACTTTTGACACCTGTATGATGGTCTATTTTGGGAAATACTTTCTTTGTCAGTGGTAAAATAAATTATGGAATATACACAAGACCGAGTAAGTACTTTAAAGTTCAGATGTTCGAATGAATTAACAATTTTATGCAAACTAATTAAGTCAGATATTTGCCTACGATCTGCAAGACTGATTTTATGTAAACAATCATAGTTAAGTAGGGCTAAAGTAGATTGTAATCACTACACTTCAATAATAATAATAAAAACTTAAAGGGCCCCAAATATGAAAATCTCTTTATGACATTAAAGGAATAATTAAATAATACTATTTTTTTAAATTCTTCCTACCATCTTCTAGCAACTGCACCAATATGGGGTACACCTCATCGTAAGTAGCAATTTGATTGTTTCTTATATGATTTTGATACCTCTGCAAGGCACCAGCCACAAACTCTAATCTTTCTCTTTCATTCTTATGTGAATCCAACCATTGCATAAGCTTTTGTATATTCCAGCCTGCACATGTATGTGGGGCCATTAACTGAGGCCCCGCATAGGAGAATAGAAGCATCATCACTAATGAATATGGTAATGATGCACCTTCTGACTGACTTTTTGCAATTTCTTGAGGAGTTTTCTCTAGAAGCAACTGTAATGCTTTTAATTGCCTGTAGAAGTCCCCGAGGTCTGTCATATCAGCTACTAAAGGCGATAAAGCAATCTCCAAATGTTTACAGTCAATCTGTAATTTAACACGTCCAAATTTACTTAATGGCCTGACATTACAAATGTGCTGAACAAACCGTTCCGTGCAAGCTCTTGCTATGTTCAAACAACATTCATTTAGAGCTGGTTTCTCAGTGAACATTGACAAGTAGATGTCTTTGCAACGAGATACAAATTGTTGTAACTCTTTCATATAGGGGGAACATGACAAATTTTTGCCTGTTGGGTCATCAGCACGGACTAAATCTGGTTCATCATGCATTGTCATAAGTATGATATAGAGTGAGTTCTTGATGGATTCTGCAAATAATTGTAAAACAGGCATGCTGGAAATATCTTTAAGGCTGTTTTGAACTATTTGAATACTCTCTGGTGGTAACATGGTGTTCATATTGACAAGAAGTCTTTTGATTTGTGATGAAAAGTAGTGCAAGGAATTGCAAAGATCAGCATTTTTCTGTTGAGTACTTGTTGGTGGCTCAATAATTTGGGCTACTTCGCTGTCCAAGGACAGTCGTTGTTCAGCCTCAACATTCATTTGTTTTATACTTTTAGCAACACTGTTAGCCAAGCTGATGCTCAACTGTTTGTCTCCTAGTGAAATGCTCAAAGCTTCCGATATAATCCTAATTGCAGTATCTATTTGGTCCATGTTAGGAACTTGACTTAAGTGCCACATGCTTCGAACAGGCTCTAGTAGTTTGCCCAAAGATTTTGAAAGGAAAAAATTCTCCCATTTCGTTAAACAAGTACGGTTTAACTCCAAATCTTTGCATTTAAGCCTTGAGAGCAGATCATTGAAACATTTAAGCAGTTTCGGGAAATCTATCTCAATGGATTGGTTGACATTCGTGGGACTCTTTTCAAGCTCATTGCTGAAAACAATGCACAAGTCAGTCCAGAAATTTTTGGCAATATTCCTGAAGTTCCCAATGGCGTGCAGCTCATTTATTACAGTTTGCAACATTATGACTTTAGTGCAGCTATTGTAGATGTCAACTTTGAAGAGTTTCTCAATATTGTCCCATAGTTTTATCTTAAAGTCTTGGGCATTCATAATGTTGGCTTTCCCAGGTGCAATACGCCCAGAACTAGACTTTTTTACTTCAATTTGTACCATTTGAACATTCAGGGCATTAACAATCTCCTTTTTCAGATCAGCGAGTATACTGTGGACTGAATTTTTAATCTGTTCCTCAGTGCATTGGAGATTATGAAACACTTTAAAACATTGAAGAAGTTTTACTTTATCTCCATTCAACAAACTTGATTGCAGCAATATTGTTGAGTTATCTAGTAACTCCTTTCTTCTATGTTCGACTGCCTTCAATACCTCTTCTAGTAGGACTATTCCTTCGAAATCGTAATCGCTTATCAGCTCATTCAGTTCAAAGAGTATTATAGCCTCTTTAGCAGGGTTATCCTTAATACTTGACAATTTATTCCACAAAACTAAAATCTTGGACGTGTGTCGCAGTAAATTGCATGTTGTTTGCACTCTTTCAAGCATTCTTGTTTGGTTTTCTAGCGCATAATACGGCGTGTGAACGCGTTCTTGTAATTTTTGTGCTCCACGTAACAAGCCTTGAACTTGAGATTGTACAGACTCCAACGTGGTTTCCAAATCAGATATATGACTGGCCTGTGTTAAAAGGTCGTTGTGTTTCGCTAGGACTTGCTTCTCTAAACTTTTACTTAGTTTTTCGATGCCTTGAGCAAGTTTATTTACTTGGTCTGTTACAGATATATTTTCGCCGACTAGCGGCTTCACAGTGTCTACTAAAAACTTGCTATAGAATTCATCGTTCTCAATCTCCACACATACGTCTTTTGCGTCCATTTTTTGTGCTTCTTTGCAGTAAATAATTTATTGTCGGTAAATATTTTCGAGAAACAAAAATCGCCAAATCGACGATTTGTCGACTTTGACATTTTACAGCCTAATGTTGCTATTTTTACTAAATAAATACTACTACGACGGTAGTTTTCTGCTAACAATGGCGCAAAATACTATACGTATAATATGAAAATGAGTATTTCCTTAACTATGTGTGCTGTTTCTCACTTAAAAGGTATACGATACGGATATTTCTATTGAAAAAGAAAAAATGCAAGATTTTTGGTAAGTATAAATTACACTTGCAACAACGCTTTATAGGCTCCATACATATCTGTGGCCTGGTAGACAGGTATCTACAAGAAGTTCGTAATGAAAATGTATATTTAATAAAACTTATAAAAACGATGAGAAATAAATATTGTTTTAGCATTATTCAGTGCTTTTCGTTTTTGTTTTACTTGTACTATATCAAAGTCGACGTAGAGAAGAAGCGTAAACTCCACACTTGCGTAAAGAGCTCTGTGACAAGGCAACTAAATCTTTGATGGAAGGGGAATACAATTACTGTAACTGAGTGACCGACTCGTTCAAAATTACAAGAAACACTTAATACTTAAAACAATAGATAAGAAATATAATAGCAATGTTTTATAGGTTTTCACGGATTCTGTGGTCGAGTAGCGGTAATACGAAAAAGCAATCGCTTGTTGTCAAAGCATGTTCATGCAGTTTTAGTTTATTAGTTGCTCACTAGAGGCGCTGTAGACGACTGGTCGCAATTGTTCGTTCCGTAATACGAATTTATATTTTGACAGCGATAATCGTGCGACTATTACTAAAACGACTGGTCGTTAAATATCGGTAATAAGCCTGCGGGTCTGGCTCCCACAAACCCGTCGTTGTTTCCGATTTCCATAACACAAGTGCTTTAGCTACTTACTTTGGGATCAGAGCAATGTATGTGACGTTGGCTAGTAGGTATAATCATGGAGCAATAACTCAAGAGGATTGCTAGTCGCGATACAACACAGCGTAGTAGTAGGGTATTTAGTGCCTATTGCTATACCAGATGTCGCGACGAGTACCAAACAGCTATTTTTGTAACTTATTATTTTACATTGACAAGCTGCAGCTAAAGCTACTCTAATTTCTAGTGATAATAAACTAATCAATGTTGATGATGCTTATTGTCTGTATTGATCACATTTTTATGGATAGTGCCAGCTATTCTTGTTTTAGAATTAGCGCCATATTAGGAAGCGTTAATTTATAAATTAGTTTGTAACACACAATGCCATCTATTGACATGTATATTTGTCAAAGTTATTAGGAAAAAAAAATCTTATATATATATTTAATTGATATCCATGGCCATTTATATAATTTAAACTACTTCCAGGTTATTGATCAGCGCCATCTGGATATAAGACGTGAATTTGACCTTTTCAGAGTTACGATCAGTAGTATGTAAATTAGCAGTCCTCCTGGTTTAATGGTCCATGGCATATCTAATAATCATTGTAGGTATAATAGCAATATGGAAAGAACATTTTTTTTACTCGATAAGTTTTAAAAAAGTGGCAAGCGTAATAATATATTTTTATGTTTATTATCATATCATTAATAGTTATTTATTGAGAACGCTAACCGCGAAAAGCAAAAATAAAATTGTACTGAAGGACTTGAATCCAAGACCATAAAATAAATTAAAAAAAATTTATTGATAGTGTGAGGGTCGTATTCCAGAACTCTACTCAATACTCAAGTTATTGCAGTGAGCACTGAAAATCATACTCAAGTCCTTGCCATTAGGGTCGTATTTCCAGTGCTTGTAATCATACTCAAGTCTGCTCAAGTCCCGACTTGAGCATTGAGTAGAGTTCTGGTATATGACCCTAAGTTAAAGATTTGACTTATTTATCAGGCCACGGCCCCGTAGAGAACTTCAATAGGATAGGGAAACAAAGAAATAAAGGCTAATTGATATCATTGATTTTTATTTACCTCAATTAGCACACGTTGTTGTGCTATACTGTTACAGAATTAATTCATAAAATACCTACACATCCAACAAAATTGTGCACTAGCATAGAAGTTTTATACAATAAAGAAATATATCAGACTCTACAAAATACTTGTTTACTTGACATCGATTTTTGTTATTATTAATTACACATGAAGATCAGGGGTGGCTAATCTGGGATATTTTATAAATCATTACACTTCTTTCATAAATAAAATTTTGTTGAATTTAGACAGAAAGGTAGCAAATATTATATAATATTCTCGCATCCCTAACACTGAATAAAAAAATGGCATTAAGTATGAATTAAACTTATGCAAAATACTAACTGTTCAAGATAAAATTACATAATAAACAAGAAGCATGATTTAAAATATCTATTTTATAAACGAAATTATGGCTACATAAAGTATTTTTTTGGCAAAAATACTCTGGGGATTTTGGGACATAACAAAATCCTTAAGCAGATGACAATGGCAGCATTTTTCACTATTCGTAAGTAAAATTATAATTAATACATAATTAAATCTACAAACTAAATTATATAAAACATATTGTAACTTACACCACTAGCGAAAACTGAAAACATTAAAAAAATCATGGTATCCAGTAAAATTCGATTATTTAATTCATTGTATATAAAACAAATATAATGGTTGCATTGTATAGATACATTATATTGCGATGTTAAAAGTTAAACAGCTATATTCTTATTTTGTGAACATTTACACTTTTGATAATGGATGTGAACGACGTAGCCATATCCACATAAAACTTGAACTTATTACACTACCCGATATCTAGGGCCCTGCGTCAAGGGTGGGCGTGGCCTCTGAGTTTGTGAGCAGCTATTCACACTACTCTGCTAATCAGGCCCTAACTCATTCTGAACGCGAACGTGAGAGCGTTGTACGTATTACTATCGTGGCGCCATCGAAGCTTATAGACTTTGAGATAAATTTTTTTGTTGCCCTCTGATGCCCTAGTTACGGACCCTGACTCCCTCACTTTTATTACACCTCCCTAAGTTTGTGTTAGGATCCCTTGAAATCAGGTGTGTAGTAAGCGTTTTATAACAACCACCGTACCTCGATTATCAAAAGCATAAAATATCGATTACAATTTAAAAAACCACCATTTCAACAGAAAAGATTATGGTAACATTACATCTTAAAAATTGTAAGGGTTTCCGATACATCAAAGGAAGTTTATATAACATCAAAGCGCACCAAGTTGGTTGCACAAACAAAGGTAATAGAAGATGAAGAGAGAAACTTCACCTATTGCGAAGGACAGAGCGTGTCTTTGTTGACTGGGTTACATTTTTGAATATACTAATAAACAAATTAAGTTGAGCTTAGACGTTGTAGACGTCATTTTAACACAGTCAGATGCCCTAAATACCGCATTAACGGGTATTATTAAAAAACGTATGAAAAGAGCAGTTAGAAACATTAAGAAAAACTACTACATTTGATTAGCTATAGTAGAAAACATTTAACAATGACCTTGGTCCTAAATTATCTTATGTATAATAAGTTTGATATTTTGTCTAGGCGAAGCTGCATGCTGTTAATATAATGTGGGCATTATAATTTTACTTAAAATATATTTTTTCAATGGTAAAACGTATGTTAAACTTTATAGGGTAAAGAACACGCGGGGCAGAAGCTCAACTATTTAACATACACGCATTCAAGTGACCTTATGTATTTATTTACACAAATAGAAGCCTGACAGGTCGATGCCATATTATATTTAAGTGATTATTTCGATGGAGCCATAACATTTAAAAGAAGAAGAAGAAGAGTTAATTTACATCGTAGTCAATAGGTAGCGCAAGTGTCCTTACGTATTTTTTCTTTATTTAAGTAGAAGCGTGTCCGGTCAATGCCATACATTTGAAGAGTGAATTTCCATCATCGGCAACAGATGGCGTAAGTGTCCTAACCATTTTGTTTATATCTGTAGCAGCGTGGTAGGGCAATGCGATATATTTAGAGTTCATTTAAATTAACGATAACAGATGGCGTAAAAAATCCATTCCGAATGTTCTGCCTAGCGTGACACTTTACCGAAATTATATAACAATATATTTTGTATTAATTACAAATTGTCTTTCAAATTTTTTTATACATATTATTATTATGTATATAACCAATAGAATTTTCACTTTAAAAAGAATGATGATAAATATTTTTGATAACGATTTTGTACCTTCGCAGAATAACAGAGAAAGCTGTCATATATAGAGTACTTTGTTAAAATTACATTGTATAGGGCCAGCTAGATAGCATGGTGTTGGACGTTACTTGGTTGTACCGAGTCTCATCTTGTCAATGAAAATGAATGAGACAACGTCTGCACATGGCCCACTGCGCCACATCGTCACGACTCTTAATTAAAAAGGAATACCTACTGTGCCCAGCGGTAGGTTGTCACATTAGTTGCTATTGGCTTCTAGGAGCTAAGAAAGACAACCAAAATTGTTGTACTAAATTTGTTTGAAAAAAATTGACACAACCAATTAATATGTCACGTAAGCAAATTCAGTACTTACACGATATGGTAGATTGTTTGCCTTTAAGAAATAAGTCTAATAACATCCGTCTACATGGTCGATACAACAGATCCAACGCTTGCACAAGACATTTATTTTAGATCTAAAATACAAATCCATTAAGTTCCTTTTCCTGTATAAATAGTAGATTTTGAAAATCCTTCTTTAGTTAACTATTCAGGCATCTGCAGGAGTGCTATCATTAGTGATAGAACTTTGAGATATTTATTGTAAAAGTGCCTGTATGTATTAAGATGCGTGCATCAGAATATCATTACGTTAGAGACAAATGACCATTAGCTAGAAGATCGATTGTAAGTCCCACCAGAGGGCGAGAGGTTTTTTACTATTTTCACGACTCTGACACATAGAACGAGTTTCATAAACCTTTTGAAAAGAACAAAGAAGGATAGCTTCGCGTGTACACAGATTAAGTACCTAATTTCATAATTGGTTATAACCAAGTGTTACCCGATTAGAATGGCATGAATAAGACCAAATTCATTTACCCATGGTCCTGATAAAGCACCTTGCTTTCTGCATAGGGTGTTTTAGACTGCAACCCTACATTATTATAATAATCAGCACCATGCTTATACCCAAAATGGATTTTTTAAAATATGATATCAAGTGACGGGACGAACAAGTCGTGCGCCTGATGGTAAGCGTCCATAACAGTTGCAGTCCATAACAGTTGCAGTGCCACTCATTCTTTAAATTGCAAAGATCTGAGGCACACTGCTACTGCAGCTGACACAAGTTGACAAGTCCCATGTGCCTGTAATTTCACCAGCACCTTTACCATTCTAAACCGGAACACAGTAATGCTGACATTACTGCTTGGCGGCAGAAATAGATAAGGTGGCAGTACTTCCCTGGACGAACTCTTTCACAAGGAGCCCTTCTTCCAACCGCTTCGATAATTTCGTGTGGTGCAAATGATTTTCTAATTTACATACAATACCGGTTGTTTGTATAAGCGTAGTGCTGACGCGTTCTGAGTGGGGTTTGAGTCTAATATCCCGAATTCACTCATTCGAGTTACCTTGACAATAAAAGTGCATTGAGAATTATAAAAAAGAAAATAATATCACCCTTATTTCTATAAAGGTTTCTATTTTATAGAAATGTCTACCTACTTTTATATAAAAGGCAAGTGGCCTTAACGTGACTAGGGCGCAATATAAAAAAGGCATTGCGCCCATCGCTATAGCGACCTCTTTTTGGAGGCGCCGAGTCAAAATCCGTACTTGATGCGAGTCATTGATAGACCCTTTTAACTTTACCCTTTCATTGTACTAGATGTTTCTAATATCACTGTCCATCAAAAATGATTCTACCTATGGTATATACCACATTTATCGACACTAAACGGTCACAGTCGCAAACCAGTATGCCCGATTCATTCGGGCATCTAGAGATGTAATAATATCATTTAGTTCTTCTGTGTTTTCATGATCCGCTTATTTAACACCGCCGCTAGATGTGGTCATACCTTTATTAGTAATACTAAACGCTCAATGGCATTTAAGCTTATGTTAAAAATTGCAGTTAAATTTTGCAATGTGAAGTTGAAATTACAAAAAAGTTGATAACAGTAGTTTCAAGTTATGCTAATTACTTACAAGGCTAGACGGCGCTGGTATGGTAAAACGTAACATAGTACTTTTATTGTGATATGCTGCATTTTTAGAATACCAGCTAAGAATTTCCACCTTGACAACTTAACAGAGACTGTTATTGGGAGTATTTTACATTGATTGACTATTATGTGAAAGTTTTAGGTAGCTAGAGAAAGGATGACGCAGGCTGATACCAGTTAACCAGTATGACATGGTCCAAACTGGACCAATTATTTGTCCAGTGTCCCCATATGTCTAGTTCAGTTATATTTGCCAGCCGACTATTAATGAAGATTATAATTTCAAGTGTAATTTTGTACTTCACAAGATGGAACACCTATAATAATAAAAGGATTAAATATCAATCTTCATACTTCTTCAACATTCCTCCAATAACAGTCTGTTAAACGGTCAAGCAATCTAAAGTTACCACATAGCTGCACGCTCTTGTGAACCCCAGTAATGAATTTACAAAAGCGTGCATTTGAACCGGCGACTTGTACCGAGCTTGTTGCGGTTCCTGAATTTTTTGCCGCGGCTCTCCTTGTCTTTACGGATCTCTCGCACGAGCGTGTAGAACGCGTCGTCTACGCCCATGCGCGTCTTTGCTGACGTCTCTACGAACGGGACGCCGTAACTTCGCGCTACCTGAAAATGTGACATCAAGTCTATGGTAAATAATTTCGTAGTTAGTATTAATATGCCGTAGTAAGCTTTTTTTTATAATATCAAATGACGGGATGAACAAGTCGTGTGGCCTGATGGTAAGCTACACGCCTGTCCATAACAGGTGCAGTGCCACTCAGAGCTTTAAATCGCAAACATCTGAGGGGCACTGCCACTGCACCCGCCACTCTGGGACATGAGTTGACAAGTCTCACGTGCCTGTAATTTCACCAGCGTCTTTACCCTTCAAAGCCGGAACACAGTAATGCTGACATTACTGTTTGGCGGCAGAAATAGGTGAGGTGACAGTACTTCCCCAGACGAAGTCTTTCACAAGGAGCTCTACTGCTAGTTGTGGACCAAGACGACCATTGGAGTCGGTGGCGGGTTGATTTGAACTTCTTTTTGAAGGCCTGGCTCACGGAATAATAAACAGTGGAAGTGTGCGTTATCATACTATAGGCCTAATTCAATCTAGATTATAATTGCGCGTGTGCGCGTGTGAGGACACCGGTTTTGGTACTAATGCTACATGATATCATTTCCACTAGTTTATTATTCCGTGAACTGGTTAGATGTTGCCCAAAATTAGGCCTTTCCCCAGCAGTGGCACACACAGGTTTATAATAATAGTACTAAAATAGAAACTAGGGAACACGGCAGACAGTTGTGGAATGCGACCAGGGTGGACTGATACTGTGGTCTCCCCCATGACTTCGTAGATATGAGGTATTCTATTAGCAGTAAAGCTCGTTGTGAAAGAGTTCGTCCTGGGAAGTACTGCCACCTTACCTATTTCTGCCGCCGAGCACTAATGTAAGCATAACTGTGTTCTGACTTTGAAGCGTAAGCCTAGCTAATCACAGGGTAAACATTGCCGGCCTCCTGGGCAGGACGACCTTGAAGAAATTAAATTCCTTCGAGGTTGTCCAGGTGCATTTTTTCTTTTTCTGTCAAAGTCAAATAATCGTTAAATAAATTTACACTTGAAAACGTACATGTACTGTATAAAGCATAGTATACAGTATAGGGTATGTTTTATTTTACTAATATAGTCCTGCGAGGTTGTTGGTATTTTATAAATAACCCTGTCTAAATTATGCAAGTTTCAAATTTCGCCTGGTTTGTGGCAAGATAAAATTTTACAAGAAACAAATGGTTCTTGAAATGTTGTCATTTGTTACGTCATACAAATTTTGTATCAACATTATTATGTCCTAATGCTTTTTAACCGACTTCAAAAAAGGAAGAGGTTCTCAATTCGTCTGTATGTTTTTTTTGTATGTATGTATGTATGTCACGCGATAACTCCGCCATTTGTGAACCAATTTTGATGATTCTTTTTTTGTTGGAAAGAAGGTACCTCAGATGTGGTCCCATTTAAATTTCAAGAAAATATTCCACCTCTAAGGGTGGCAAACTAGGGGATGAATGACTTTTGAGGTCGGTTTTTTTAACCGGAGGTTAGGTTATTAAAGTTATTAAAACTAACAGTTTGTTTCTGTAATAGTCTCTGTATGTTCTGTAGTCTGTTGTTGTAGATTCTCGTCTTGGCAAAGTCTATCACCGCAATTTAGCGGCCAAATTCTGAGTAACTTAACTTGACGTTGGTGGAATAATAGTATCGATGGACCTAGAACACTTTAAAAAACATGCTATTTAATTGCCTGAAGATCTGAAAAAATTTTGTTGCAGCATCAATTATGTTTTTAACCTATGAAATCTCATTACTATCAACTTTTTGACAGAAGTAGGGAACATTCCTGGAAACATGGTGGCACAATTGACTCTTAACTGGGTTTTATTGATGTTGATTGGCTGTTAATTAAAAGTCACTTAAGACGGATTACCTATTGTAATATTTATAACTGTTTATCATAACTATCCGATCATTTAAAAACATTGCTATACTTAGTCATCAATAAGTGTCGCAAACGCAAACTAAACGTAATACAAGTCCAGCGTCTGCCTTCTTCCTTACCAGAAAGAAAAGGACAAAAGATTGACACAGGACAAATTGGTTGATGCACATACCACTCATTAAACTCAGGTGGCATGTGCATGCACGTATCGCTTAGAAGCAGTATTGTCAGTATTCATTTAGCAAACATGCAAATACATAATAAAATTTACATTACATGTGCCCTATACAGACGTAGCTAAGACTTAGACATACATAAACAAGCAAAGTAATAAGCAATAATATACATACAAACAAAGGAATTTTTCTTGTAATTAATTGTATCAAATAAGCATTAAATTGTTATAAATAACAAGAGATGCAGTAATTAATCTACATACCAATTATAATAATTGTAGAACTCAGATTTATTTGTTTGAAGCTGTTAGAATTTAACAGCAACTCAAATTAAAATTCTTAATGACACGAAACTGACAGATGCACTGGTCTTAAATTACATATCAGTCTGTGTTTGGCCCTATTAACGTCTAACCACCAGCTGCATTTTTAATTACTTCATTGTACTGATTACTTGCTGCATTGAGAAATTACATAAAGAAGGTTATGGAGTTGCAATCATTTACTGTCTGCAATGTTAGTTATAGAATAATAGCACAGTGAGCGTAATATACTTAAGTGGTGATGTGTCATAAGCGTACTTAAGATTTTACTCTTCAACTTCGTTTGTCATTAGTTAACGTCGTTCAACTATCAACAAAGTACATGTCAACAGAAAATGTTTTGCATTACAACATTTACTGAACGACTCCCACATCCGCTAACTTTCTTCAAAAATTTATATGCGTAATTCTCAAGCAAATAACTGATACCTAATGAGTAGTGCATGTTTTTGCAATAAAATGAAAAGCAAAAATTAATCACATGATAAACAATTACTCAATGTATATTATGCCATATTACAAGTATATAAATGTAATACATAATATATTTTTGTTTGGCCGTAACTACCTATATAAAATGTCACGACCATGTCGTGTGACTTTCCCGAAATTGCAACATTAAGGACGCGTTCAAATTAGCCGCGCTGCACCAGCGTTGCAGCCGCGCGAGCGGTTTTTAACGATTTTTCGAATAATGGCAAGTTGGGTATCGTTTTCGAGGTATTTGGGGGTACTCATTACGAGTATAGCACTTGTTTGTAAATCCAAGATGGCGGACACGATTTTTCAAAAAAATGCTATATGGGTATCCCTTTTGAGGTATTTGGGGATGCTCATTACGAATATTGCATTTTTTTGAAAAATCGTGTCCGCCATCTTGGATTTACAAACAAGTGGTATATTCGTAATGAGCACCCCCAAATACCTCGAAAACGATATCCAACTTGCCATTATTCGAAAAATTGTGCCCGCCATCTTGGATTTAGAAATGAGTGCCATATTTGTAATGAGTATCCCCAAATACCTCGAAAAGGATATCCATATTGCATTTTTTTGAAAAATCGTGTCCGCCATCTTGGATTTACAAGTAAGTGCTATATTCGTAATGAGCACCCCCAAATATCTCGAAAACGATACCCAACTTGCCATTACTTGAGAAATCGTGCCCGCCATCTTACATTCAGAAAAGTCGTGTTAGCCATCATGTATTCAGATATAAATGCCATTCCCATGAGGATTACCAAAGAGAAATTTTTGAAAATTCTTGGCAACCATCTTTGGTTTAGAAATTAATGCCACATTCTCAATAAGAATTCCGTAACAACTCGAAAACGTCTATAATTCTCGTTGTCGATCGACAATGTCGATTATACATTGTCGATTACATTAGGGGTTAAAGTATCAAATTGCCGTTTTATTGCAATAGGTTCTTTGAATTTTCATAGAATCTTCATGGTTTGAGGTTTTCGAATGAAACTTTTTTCAAATGGTTTCTGTGATTTTTTTTTAAATTTGAAACATTTGAATATCGACTTTCAATTGTTTTTGTTATTCAATTTAGACAAGAAAGATGGATACTGCGAAAATTCGAGTGATTTTTGAATACGAGTTCCGACGCGGAACTAACGCGGCAGAAACAGCCCGCAATATCAATGCTGCGTTTGGAGAGGGGTCTACTAATGAACGCACCGTGCGATTTTGGTTTAAACGCTTTCGTGATGGAAATTTCGACTTAAAGAACGAGCCACGAGGAAGACCGCCCACACAGGTGAATAACGATGAATTAAGAGAGATAGTGGAAGCCGATCCTAGTCAAACTACCCAGGAATTAGCGGCATGGTTTAACGTTACCTTACCCACAATATTGACTCACTTGCGTCAAATCAATAAAATAAAAAAATACGAAAAATGGGTGCCTCATGATTTGACTGATCTGCAGAAAGAAATGCGTGTTGAAACTTGTGTTGCCTTGTTGAACCGGTACAGAAATGAAGGAATATTGGATCGAATTGTAACATGTGATGAAAAGTGGATTCTTTATGATAACCGGAAAAGAAAAATGCAATGTCTGACCCCAGGTCAAATGCCACAACAGTGTCCTAAAGCAAAACTTACCAATAAAAAGGTAATGGTAACTGTTTGGTGGTCTCAGCATGGTGTTATTCACTATAGTTTTCTCCGATCTGGTCAAGCAATAACGGCAGATGTCTATTGTGCCGAACTCCGAACCATGTTGACAAAACTAGCAGTAAAACAGCCCCGACTCATGAATCGATCTTCACCATTATTGCTCCACGACAACGCGAGACCTCACACAGCACGAGAAACCATTTTGACCCTTCAGGAACTGCAGTTAGAAACCATTCGTCATCCTCCGTATTCACCAGACCTTGCTCCAACGGACTACCATTTTTTTCGTGATTTGGACAATTATCTACGTGACAAGAAGTTTTCTTCCCAGGAGGCAGTACAAAATGCTTTCACACAGTTTGTGCAGTCTAGATCGTCGGAGTTCTATCGCAAAGGCATTAATAACCTTCCCATTAGATGGCAGCAATGTATAGATAATAATGGCAACTATTTTGATTAAATAAATTTGTTAAAAATTTAAAAAATAAACA